ATATGAATATAATAAAGTTAAAATTTTTCAACGAAACTGTTTTAAAAAAGAATATTTCTCGTGTTAATTTTGCAGATTTTGTAAATGTATTCATAGATTAGTCTTCTACAAAATATGGTTGCATTTGTCAATATAGAATAATATTTTCGATATACGGAACTGTTTTATGCGAAATTTACATTTTCCATTCACAGTTGAGTGTCAACAAGCGCAATATTTCCGAAAATAAGATTCGGCATGCCAATCCTTTGTGCAAATAGAAATGTAATACGATATGTAGTAGCGCATAAGTGCGTGTGCATGTATATATATATATCTGTAATGATTACTTCTTGTTATATAAGAGAATTTCCTGTTCTTACGCCAATCACTACATAATATGTAAAACATGCTAAGCTTGTCTCAGACACTATTCGCTTTTAGTGTGTCGCTCATACGACAAAAAATAATGCTGGATGCTGTAATACAGCCCTTTTCCCACGATTATCTCTATTCCAAATTTACAATGTCCTATTAATTTCTATTTTTATTCATAAATAACAAAAAATAATAATTAGCTAAATTAGCAAAGTAAATCGCGAGTAATAAATATAAATATTCGAGACATTTATCATGCATCTAAAGATCAATAAAAATTGAAGGGTTTAACGTGCAAGCATAAAATATATCACATAAGTATATAATTTGATATTTAAAATAAATTGTAACATTTAAATTGATATTTAAAACAAATTATGAACCTTCTATTTCTTACACTGAATCCTTAATTTTTATTAATTCTAATTTATTGTGTCTTAAATTATTTTATATTATCTTAAGTAACATATTTTATAATATAAAATAATTATATTATGTGTGCGATTCTCTCTCTCTCTCTCTCTCTAAAATATGACAAGCTTCGCGTGAGGACTCGAAGATCTCAACTACGTCGTTGACGTATCGACCAACGTTTGCATGTGAAAACACTATCGAATATATTATATATACATGCACACGAACATTCACAAAAAGAAGCAATGATGCTACCAGGTACGCGATGCGCTTCGCTAACAATCGCGGATTAGACAATTCGTTCGAGGTCGACGCGAACGCTTAATGGCTGCAAAGTTCATCCTAGACGAGCAAAGAATACATCTCTCAAAAGGAATTAAACAATCGGTCATTAATGATACTCTGGATAGTTATAAATTATTCCTATGAGCGCAAAACACCATTTTTTTTCATTATACAATCAACTTCAATTATCATTATTATCGTCCGAAGGACTTTGACGGCGATTGATAATCGATCAATCGGTCTCTCAAAGACTGGTTTTCCTATTGCGCATAATATTTTTATAAATCAAATATCAGGCAAATAAATCTCGTACTTTGGCCACTCGCTTAAAGGAAAAACGATAATCACAACGATTGTTGACTGCATCAGCCACGGAAAAGCTAACTGATCGACATTTGTGATTAATGTATCGCGTTCACGAGGATAACCGCCGCCTCGATAAAAACACACGATCGATATTGATTTATTCTTCACACGAGGAGTCCGACAGAGATAGTTTCAAGAAGTCAAGGTAGTTTCAAGAAAGAATATTGAAGAAGAAAGATAAGATCTACGTAGAACAAGTTCTATAATTATTGAAAAAAACGAATTTAATTATTGTTTTCAATGCGTCTAGCATTTCTACCATATATTTACTTTTTTATGTTTAAAAAAATAATAAACTACCTTCAACCTTTTCCATTTTCACATATTTTACGTCTCTAGAAAATTGATATAAGATGCCTTAAACCGTTTCTTTTATAGTTACAGTTCTACTTCAAAGAGTCGGCGACGAATTTTGAACTAGTTTAAGAAAATTTTGGTGAAACTGTTACCATTTATCGTAAGACTTTAGGTTAGTTCTGTTAAAGCAAAGTTCGGTTAGAAGAGAGATTCAGGAAGTATAGTCCCCGTTACATCATACTTCAGCCGCGTGGCTGAAAGAATGATAAAAGCAACGTGACTCTTCCTTGAAATTAATCTTCAATCGTAACGTCTTTTGCGTGGCAAGCACACAGTAGATAGACTCGGAGATTGAAACTGGTATAGCTTTAATGAGTTTGCCGTGAGATGCAGTTAATACACGAAAATGATCTCTACGTTTATTGAATAACAAATACTGAAGCGATAGAAACGAGACTGTTCACGTAACACGTATTCTTTCATATTTACGATACGTTCATCATTGCGTAAACAGACAAGAAACAGAAAATTAATTTTATGACGAGAATGTAAACTATGTAAGAAGATATTTTGCAAGTTAAATAACTCTTTCAAATGGATCGACAAATAAATTCTCGTTTAATTAGCCAAGTTATTCAACATACGCGGTGAATTGATTCATTTTATTCTAATCAAACGTTTTATAATTTTCCAGAAATATCTGCGGATTAATGATTCGGATTTTACGGTACAATCGGTAATCGCGAATTCGCCGAACGACTGGGACACGCTTCATTTCGTGCAACGGTACAATGAACCCGACCTGCGCGAGAGAAAAGAATTTCGGGCCACGAACTCCAGGTGAAAGTAACTGAACATGACACCTACGAATATGCATACACATTTGCATTCATCGCGAGGTGACAATGTCCTTAAGGTGTCAACGACAATGTCGTCGTCGTCGTCGTCGTCGTCGTCTTCGTTGTCGTCGACGACGTCGTCGACGACAGCGTTGTACCGGCAGCGACACAATGCCGCGCTAAATAAACCACAATGATTCAGTGTGGTCGACCGTACGCGCGATGACACATTCATTGAATCAAATTAAGAGCAGCGGCTACAACCGTGACATTACCCGCGATGATCGAGTTAATCGCAGCCTCTCGGCAGCCGACATCTCGATTCATGCCTCCAGTGCATACGAAAAGAACACTTTTGCTGAAAGATCTAAAAATTGTGCGAGATACAGATCTGAAAATAAATTTTGTCGGACAATTAAAATTTATCAATAGAGCACTCAATCTTTTTCAAAAAAATAGCAAAAAGTTTTGACGATCCATCAAGATCGAATGCTCTATTGATAAATTTTGAATGTTCAACAAAATTTATTTTCAAACTTGTATCTGATACAATTTTTAGATCTTTCAACAAAAGTGTTCTTTCCGTGAAGTAAACCGCGACTTTGCAAAAACATGATTAAAAACATGATTTTAGATTAATTAAATTGCAAAGTTCTTAGAACAAATTTTGAAGATTAATAATAAAAAGGATTGAAAGAAGATTCCTCTTTTTTGGCACAGCTGTAAATATTACAGCAATAATCGAGCTAATCGCAGCCTCTCGGCTGATCCAGATGTCATAATTCACGAATGTGGTAAACCCTGTGGGTTTCTTCTATGCAAAAAACATCAACAATAAAAACGTAGTTTCAAAATAATTAAATCATGACACAGCTAAAATAGTTAAGTAGAAATTTTGAAGGCCAATAAAATACAGGATTGACAAAAAACAATTTTTTTGAGAAGCGATGAGTTAATCACAGCCTTCAGACAATCGCGTCAATTCAAACGTACTGATTTATATTTTCGAGTGTGATAATCAAAGACTTTGCTGTACAAAATGTATGAATAACGAAAGATAGTTTGATGATTTCAATTAATTGTAAAATTGATGAAATAAAATATTAACAGCTAATTTTTAATCACTTTATCCCGATGTCACAACAATGACCAAATTAAATCATCAACCATCTGTCTGGCGCGGATGTTTTTATTTGTATGTTCGAGGATTAATTCTGAATCGCGCATATTTTACCACGCAAAGTATTGATAAAAAGTAATTTAAATTCGCTGAATAAATTACTTGCATTGTGATAAAATTTAAATTACATATGTATAAAAAAATTATCATGCCTGAAATTATTGTAAAAAAAAGTAATTTATATAACCAATATTAAAAATTACATGATGATGCAATTAACATAAAATCGATCAAATCATATTTTTCCTTTTCTTTCCTTTTTTTCTTTAATCATCAAATATGTCAATAAAATTGTCAATAAAAGTTCAATAAAAATCATGATAAAACGTTTATGCAAGCCATAAATTTTCTTAAAGGTTACCTATTGGTCTGCTTAGAAGTTTTTTTGCGTTGATTTCATAAACGCTGTACGAATGCACATTGTTACGACGTTTGCTCGATCGATTTGCAGAGTCGACAATCATCGGCCACATTACGGCAATGTGATTACGAAATATATGTAAACCTAATATCATGAACGTTTTCAATCATTCCAACGACGAACGCACGATGTGCACACTGAACATGCACGTATGAGACCCGTTCATACGTTCATTTAGCATCGATTTTCACGCTTATGCAATGCTGCGCTTATTATTATAATAATTATCAAGCAAGATAAATGCATTTTGAAAGTTATAAAAATATACAGAATGTATGTACTTCAAAAACAGTCCAAAAAAGTCATAACAAATTCAACGAAACTTATATTTCTGTAAAATTCAGTATTTAATTTTCTAATTAAATAATTAATACTTATTATTACTTAATAATTTCAATACAAATTAGAATTAAAAACGATTGATTTCTTTAAACTGTAATCTTGTTTGAGTTTAATAATTTTCACAGTTTATACATTCATATTCCTATTTCCGACAAGAGTTATTAATTGTCAGAATTTTTATGAACGGTAATTTATTAAATCGCTCATTTTGGGAAAGTTTTCACTCCAAAAATATTTGAAAGACTTCGATATAATTAATATTAATTCTCTTAGTAGAGCCTAGTAAAAAAGAAATTTATGTATGAGCAGAATACGTTAATATTAACGAACTAATTAATAAAATAACTTTATTTTAATTAAATTAAAATTAAACAATTTATAATTACTAAATACTTTTCAGATTTTTTTTTTTTTAAGAGCAGAGCTTTTTGGAGCAACATCGCCTTTAAAATGATCGATTCGCTATTGAATGATATTGAATATATTTTTGATTACTTACACCATCGTCGGAGGAAGCCGCCCTGCAGCTTAGCGCAGATCCCGCGATGTACCCTCATTCTGACCGGCGTTCACCGAACGTTCACCCTGAGATCACTGAACACCTGTTCGTCGAAAACGGAAGCGCGAAGCTGCGACGCGCGTGCTCCTCTCTGCCTCTTTCCCTCGATGTCCCTTGTCAGGATCCACCCGAAAGCTGCGTCATACACGAATACACCGACTCTTCAAAGGAAATCCCTTAAAAGTGTCATCCAACGTCGTGTTTCGATCTTGTCCGCGTTTTCTCGCGACTCGACCTCAAAGAGCCTGATGTTGGCACGCAGCTTCTACTCGGTCGATTGGAGAAAGTCAATCCTCCTTTCGCAGTGCGTTAAGTGTGCCGGTCGGGTCGTCGGAAACGTTATTATGTACCGGAGACGCTGGTCCAAGTAAAAGAAAAAAAAAAAGAGTCGCGCGCTTTTACTTCTCTCTTTCGCCCGTCGTCGTTGATCGTCGTAATCCTGAAGGAAGATCTCGCTCATTAAGGCATATCCCGTCCAGTGGATCCTCCACGACCGACCGAACGATCGCTCACGACGGTACCAGCCACGATCGCGCGACTCTCGTTGATTTTCCTCGAGTCTGGTTCGTACACACGAAGAATGTTACACGCGAGTACACGCGGTGGCTGCTGCCTCCTCGACCGCTGGTGGCCGCGACAGTGATCGTGGGAACGATCGGCTGTGATGATGTACTTCGGCGAGGAAGAGGCATACGACCCGCTGGAGAAGGGAGCGACGCGAGGGATGCAGATAGAAGAGGACCGAGAAGCAAACGAAGGGAAGAGGCGAGAAACGAGAAAGGAGGGAGGGATCGACGTGAAGACCGGATAGCCGGAGATCGAGAGACGAATGGACGAAGAGAGAGAGGAGGGAGAGAGAAAGAGAGAAAAGGACCGATGAAGAAATCGAGCGAAACCGGAGTATGCGCTCCTTTTTGCGTGTATATAGATGACCGTGCGCGCGCGCGCGCGAACGTGACGATCTGGATCTAACGTGGGCTGTGATCGGTGCGAGATCGGCCGAGACACTGCGTGAGCGCCGATCCGCGGCCGCAATGCTCAGGTGAACGATTTATTTCTGCTCCCCACTTGCCGCTCTACTTTGCCCCCTACGGTCTGTCTATTCGATGCCTACTACTACTGACCGTTGTTCCTCCATTCGCCGGCCCCTCTTGCGGCACTTCTCCTGCTTCTGCGGCGCAGGAACGTCTTGTCTTATCCGCAGGCCTTATGTTGTCTTCCTTTCTTGCACAGTCTTGTCTTCATTTCATTCCTACCTTCATCTTCTTCCATTACAATAGGATTTAATATAGGAGTCGACGTAAAATTCGGAGCCAACTGAAATCATAAAAAAAAAAAAACCATGGATAAATTGCGAAGAACTTGGCATTAAACAGCTTGAGATTGATACAAAGTTACAAATCAATTGCAAAATATAATTATTACAGTTCGCTGTAATATAATGAATAATTATACATGTCAATAATATTTCATTAATGATAATAAATTCTGTAGAATTAAGCAATATAAGTCATGATATGTGAGACAAATAATTCTCCTCTATAAAATTTGAAAAGTTCAAGAATGACCTTTCCTACAAGAACAGTGCTTCTAAAGCTCCTACTTATAAATTCCAAAGTCTAGAAACACTCCTGAAAACCAAGTCTCTCACTTCCTCTTTTATTCAGGTGACGCAGGCTCATCTGGGTACCTGCGCCTGCGCCTCCATGCTTGCAATTTATATCCTCTCTCGCTTTCTCCCTTATTCCGTCTTATTCCACTTGTCCTCCTTGTTTTCCCTCTTCTCCTCACATAGAACCCAATCATAGAGGATTCTTTTCTCCGCGCTTCTCCGTTATCTGACGATCCACCTCCTCGAGCGCGATGTGACGGTTTTGAAAAAATAATAATACTAATCCGTGGAATACACAGGTGGAGTACAGTGACTGTCTTTAAATGTGCTTTATGAGCTTCGACGGCTCAAAGCATGACGAATTTCCGCGATTCTTGAACATTCTAATCATTATATACAGAATGGAACAAATGCGCTTCTTGTCATTTGTGGTTTCTCGAACTATTCGACTCGATTTTTTCTGATAAAAATATCAACAAACCCTTCTTGAGTTAAAACAAGACACAAAAACAATTAATAGTTATAAATTAATTAATAAAGATTTATATTTTTAGCTCTAATTCGAATAGATCATTTATTTCAATAAACCAGTGATGTCAGATTAATTAATGCAATATTCAATACTGAAAATATACTCTTCTGAAATTTTAAATTTAGAATATCATAAAATGTAATGTAAAAAACTTGAATCTAAAAAACTTTTGCATACGCATTTAAAATCTTAAATTGACAAAATTTATAAAACATAATGTGTATGTTTAAAAAGAAATCAGTTTCACAAAATAAAGGACAAAAACGTTTTAAAGAAGATACATTGTGACATTCTAGCATATCAAAATTACCGTTTAAAACATTTGCATAAAGACTGAAATATATATTTCAGGTATCACTGATTCCGCGATCAACCGGTCCTATCCACGCATTAAAATCACCGAAGATGTGGAATTCAGCATTAATCTTTATCTAAAACGATACAATGTAATGCAATAAATTCTTAAAATACAGATAAACAAGAAGAGGATTTAAATAAACTTTATAATCTCGTGACAAAGCAAAAGAGGTCTGCCAAAAATAACCCGGTTTCAATTTCCGCTAGCACGTCTATGATCGACAATCGCTACTTAAGAAAGCATCGTAATAGTCAGCAATCGAGGACGTAAATGTAGGTTAACGCGGAAAACTATACAAGTTTTTGCAACGCTTCTTCTTCCGCCATTCTCTATACATTATCGTGTCGCGTGTTTATTTAGAATAATTTTACATTATCGCCGAAGGCAATAAATTATCCTGCAATAAATTCTTATGTTTTCAGCTAAATTTTGGATGTGCAATATTTTGGATATATTTTCGCGAAAAAATGTGCGTTTGAAAATATATAATTAGCAATTGCATCTGCGGAACTTTTTACTCAAATATCATTAAATAGATTTTGCGCAAAAAGTGCTCGCTGTATTCTTAGAAACGCACTTAGATCGTAGCTCGTAATTTTGCTTCTGATCTTAAGTAAACATATGAAGCGTTCGATTCGTTTGCATAATTAAATATTAAATGGACGTTAAAAGATTATTTAGAAAGATTGAATCGCATTTATATTCAAAACTCCGTCAAATGTTTTACATCTAAATTAAAAAATAAAATATTATAATATTAAAGCCAAAAAACAATTTGCAGTAACGTAAATCTCAATCTGCTTAACTAGCAAAAAATTGAAAGATAACCAATTATAAACATAAAAATAAATTATATAATAATAGAAAAAAGAAATAAATAATATCCTTTATACAAGTTATCTATTTGCAATATGTGTTTACTATTATCTATACTATATATTATTAGTATTCTACTCGAAATAGAACTTTGAACACATGCAAGGAATCGTAGTTATCAGACCGACAATCAATCGATAAATCGATTTTCGCAATCGTAAAGACAAAAATATTATTATCACATGCTTTGGTCCACCTGATTCAAAAACACGTCAAACTGGTTGCTAATAAGAAGCATTCTCTATCGTCTGAAAAATGTCAGTCTTAATTAAAGAGTGTGTGACGTCCTTGTTTGCGACACTCCAATGGAATGGACAGCGACCTTGACCCTATCATTGAGAAGGCACGATAATTTCAGTAAGTTATGTAAAGAACGCTTTTCAATCGCCTATAAATTCGCACGACAGGCTGATATTTGCACATTTGTAAAAACAAGAGTAATCCAATATAATTATCATATTTTTTTTCGATCTAACATTTTCTTTATGCACGACGCATGTTACGCAACCAAATATACGACTTGAGAGATCATTATTTATTAAAAAAAAAAAATTTGTTTTAATAAGAAAATAAGAACATTGCACAACTTGTTTTTATAAAATAATGTAAGAATTTTTTTTAATTTTAAATGGATCAATTTAAAGAGATCAGAATTAAAACAATTATATATTTAAAAAATTGATATTATTTTTTACGATTGTGTTATTTAACATTTAATTTTTGAACAATAATTTAATCTAAACAATCATTAAAATTAAATAATTTGTAATAATATTACTTTCAATGTGTTAATTTTTTCGCTTTAATCATGTGAAAAATATTGAGAATATAAAAAAATGATAAAATAAAAAATAATAAAATTATAGCCAGTAGCTTTCTTTCATAAATTTGTTTCTTTTTTAATTATTATTATATTTATACTTATCTTGTATTTTTATATTGAATTTGTCGCAGCACTTAAAAATAACAGTGATATCAAATTATTGTGATAACTCAAGACATGCCCATGAACCGCACCGCACCATGTCTGCAATCACACGTTCGCGTAATAAATGAGAAAAAAAACACACGTCTGTTGGTCACCAAGTCTGAAAGAGTTAATATCCCGTTGACGAACACTATAATCGGCTAAGCTGTAATTTGCGGGGCAAAACGCGCAACTAAATTGACAATCTTTCACAATGTCGGCCTCACCTTTCAAGCTTTCGAGTCGCATTTTATTACGGCACGATTCTAAAGACATCACGCCAAATGCTGAGGTGGAATAGTTAATTGCCGCTAATCACGATGTAACCGATTGCCTGTAACGTTACAAGTCAATCTATCATCAACATATGGATAGACAGACTTATAATTGTAAATACTGCAATGTGATGTATTTTGAAAGCCTTTTTATTCCAGTTGCGTTACTCAAAGCTGCGATCGATCGAATATAATTTCATGCTACAGTATGAAAACACAGTATCGCAATATGTTATCATATTACAGCACTATACAAGGTGTCGCGTAATCATTAGAGGAATGTTTCTTTTTTTAATATGTGTCTAATTCTCATTCACCTTCATTTCAATTTTGGTATAATTAAATACTTATTCTCAATTCAAAGTGAAAACTAAATTGTACAGACGTTTATTGATGATAAAAATTACAAGCGTGTTACAAAATTGTTACAGCTTGTAATAAGTAAAGATTCTGCGAATTATGTTGTCAAGGAAAACTAGATTTGACACTCGACACAGTCGGCAAGGCCGTAAAGATATTCAATATAGACACCTTATATAATACTCTAATAATGCAAATATTTTATCGCAGAGATAGTTCGATCGATCGCGTGCGTATCGCCGCAGGAATGTTAGCCAGGGTCGTATCGCAACAGTAGTATTGCCATAGCGAATGCGCGACTTTTCTTCCGCATGCGGTTCTCAACTCTTAAAATGTTTTATTAGTTGCATTGCACTATTTACGCCTATAACGTATTCATAAAAACCCTCGGTGCATCGTGCCAGCGGAAGTAAGGTAAACGAGCAGAGCGTCAGTGCGTGTAATTGATCCTCGTTTTTGAATCGTATAAATAATCAAATTGCATTCATCAACAGCGAAAGCGATTTCACTCACTCGCCGTACACACTTCTTTTTCTTAACAGTTCTGAATAGTAACGGGATTCAAATCATTTCAATGGTGCTAAAAAAGCTGACTAAAGAAGATAGATTGAAGGCATTCAAATAGATAAAAAAAATCAAATCGTCTCAAGACATCTTGAGTTAAAGGCTATGAAAATCAAGAAGTCTCAAAACATCTTGCAAAACTGTTATGATTGAAAGTCTTGAAGAAGACTTGAAAAGTTTTGAATGTGTAATACATGTCTGTGTGTGTGTGTGTGTGTGTGTGTGTGTGTGTGTGTGTGTGTGTGTGTGTGTGTGTGTGTGTGTGTGTGTGTACGTATGTGTGTGTGTATGCATATGTGTGTATGTTATGTGCATAGACAAAATATTAAAAATATAAATATAAATATTCAAATATTTAACACATTCAAGACATTCAAGACTTTCAAAACTTTTTCAAAACCTTTTAAGACTTTTTCAATTGTAACAATCGTGCATGATGTTTTGAGACTTTTAACTTTCGGTCCTTCTTGACTTGCTTAGAAATTTGCAATAAGAACCTTGAAATCCCATCACTAGTTCTGAACATTTATTCCATCATAATACTTTTAACTAAATAACTTGAAAAAAGTAATCAATAATTTAAAAAATTATTAATAATAAGTATAATTGATGAGTTTAATCAAGCAAATATATAAAATTAATATATTAAAAGTTGTTAATATCATTTTTTACTATTGTAATAATAATTATTATATTACTATAATTATTAATACAATAATAATTAATAAATTGAATTATAATTGAGAAAACAATATTCATTGTCATCTCATGTTTTTCGTTTCAATAAAATTTAATTATCCAAATAATTTTTTATTTAAGATATCACCCGTTTTATGTAGTTATTTCACTTAAAACAATCATGCAGAAAATTACTTCAACACGATTATTATATGAATATCAATAAATCAAAATTGCTTTTCTTCAAACACGAAATTAATTTCTTATTTAAAGTGTTACTTTTGGTCTTGTTTGCGAATAATAATAAGATACCTATTTATTCTTCATACGGTGTCAACATAGATAGTGCTAATAAACGAGGCAAATAAAGGGATCGCGGTTCCAGAAATTCCTTAAAGATAATTAGCGATGGCAGGTAATGACAGAATAGTGATTAATGCAAAACTAATGTATTAAATAATCGACAGTATCTTCTTATTAATTTATTAATAAATTTGTATTCCTGAATTATTCTACGAACTACCACGTAATCGTTTTGTACAAAAGTTATTTCTGCTATTGTACGAGAAGCTTTTAACGGGAATGTCATGTAAGCCTACGACATTGATTTACCGGAGAAACTGATTAGCCGCGCATCGATAAGGTTAATGACACCTTTGTTGTTTGTACGATCGCGTCTTCGCATTACACGGCGTACATACGCCGCTATCAGCCAGCTTTCATCGGTGACGTAAGATCCGGGCTTATAACTCCGATTGAGGAAAAGAAGACTCTTACCTCGTTATTCAAGCGCAAGTCTTTGATATCGCTTGAATGAATTGCGAGGCGATAATCACGAAATATTTTCGAATTCATACTCCTCTCGATTTATCAAAAAATAATAACAATTGTAATTTATTCAGTGAACATAAGAAACGAATCAATAAAATAACCAGTTATTTTAATATATCAAATAATTTCAATCATATTTTACGAAGTAGATATTTGATTTTCTCGTTTAGATATTGTTATCTAAGGCCGGTATTCATAGTCCGTTCTTATATTCAAGATCGTCTTAAGCACGAACTTATATTCGCTCTCTTCGTCAGACACAATCTATGTGTGACGAAGAGAGCGAATATAAGTCCGTGCTTAAGACAATTTTGAATATAAGAACGGACTATGAATACCGCCCTAAGTCTTCTCTGTCATAATTTTTCAAAAATTCAACTTAAATCATTACGCAATTAAATATACTAAGCAGCGATTATTTTTCATCGTTGTATTTTAGCCACTAAAAGCGAGAAGAAAAGTGTGTTTAAACGAACAGACGTGCTGAGTGAAAACCACGTTCGACGATTAACAGAGACTCGCGCTTTTGCAACCGCAACAGAGTACATCTCGATGGGCCTAGTTCTCAGAGTAATATTCTGGAAAGTGATGCGTGGGTATAAAGAGAGAAAAGGTTTCAAGAAAATCGACGACCGTGCAACAAAAATAATGATGTTTTCTGCACAACAAGTGCACAACATGAAATTCTAGGTCGCGGCAGATCTGCATCTACTCGAGTATTTAATTTTCAAATTAAATTAATTTTTTATTTTAAGTGTTTCACTCTTAGTGTCGCATATTTTTCATGGATAATGTATATCAAACATGTTACGTTAAGACATAAATATAATTAACATAGCAAATGATGATTCGAATGATCCAAACAAAAAAAAATAGACTTCGCAGTCTTGGTTGCAAAAATTCATTAAAGGCAGCTTAAAGAAATACGTCGTAATATAATCATAAAACGCAACGATAAAACGCAATGATAAAACTCATTGATCTTAATCGATAAAATTGTATTGATTCAAATGTTATATAATTTTTTTGCGAAAAAAAAGGGGATAAGATATGTCAGATAGTTCCACAAGTGATGTAATTAGCAGTATTATGCAATAATAACAGAGTTAATGATGTTTAATAACATAATCAATAGGGCGCAAAAAAGGTTTCTAAATAATTATTCAAGCAATATTACTGTGTAAATCGATAATTACGAAAAAAAAAATTAATTCCATATACAAAAAATAGTATTTTAGTTCATTACATATGATAATCAGAGTAATAGTAACGTTTGATAACGAGGCAAATTATTTTTAAAAACGTTACATTTCTGAAAGGAAGTTCATTACTGAAAATATTATATTATCTTGGTTTCGCGCTAATCATTATCCTGCCTTGGCTCTAATTATCTTGATCAAATTCTCAGAATTGAGATCTCTTTTGCCTCGCCGATAATTGTGATTTATAATTAAACTTATTTTCACAATATTAGAGAGTTAATAGAATATATAAACGATATATTATATTATTATTTGCAGTACAGACGAAGGATAACACTTTAAATAAGAAATTTAATTTCGTATTTGAAGAGAAGCAATTTTGCTTGATTTGCTTGCTTTTGTCTTTTTGCGCAATTATCTCAAGTAAGATATTTACGTCTTTTTATGTGAAATATAAAACAGACGGTAATACCTCAAATAAGGAATTATTCAGGTTACCCGTTTGCATTGAAAAAATAATTTAAGAACAACTTTCGATACTTGATTGGTTCAAATAAAAAAAACAGCTAAGGTTTTTGCAAATAGTAAAATAAAACTTGTTTCGATTAAAGAGGTATAATTTTATGTTGTACCGAAGATCAGCCTGGTATTTTATGTCCTAATTTTTTTAGCAAATTATAAACTTTATTTCTTAATTTATTGTATTTTACGAAATTTCATAAAAAGAATCTTCGGAGCACGTAACTCAAAAATCACCGATTGCCTCGTCGAACGTGTGCTGCGAACTTTACTTTTCACCGGCGAAAGGAATAGAAAGCCACGCTTTGACTTCACGTCGTGCTTGACAGGAGGACACGGTAATTAGATGAACTGTAATTTCCTCCGATTGTAACGGACATCCAGCGCGAGCGTTGTCTCTATTACAAATACTGCGACAAGAAGGAAAAAGAAAAGAAACTGAACTTCGCGTCGGCGAGACAATCGGTAATTTTTTGAATAATTAGCTATGGCCTAAAGTAATTTTAATATTTCAACATCGCGATCATTTATTTTGTCATCTATAGTGCAACTTCTAGCTATCGTTATCGCGTTACAACACGACGCCACTGGTTTTCTCGGTGACAAAAACTTACTCGCATATGGACGAAGCACGAAATGAATTAATGAAATGGAACGACTCTATGGAGGTCGACCGGTATTTTACAGCGTCACCGGTTTCCTCCACAAGTTCGTATCTGTACATACCTGTGAATTAATGTATGTTCTCACAACGTTGCTAATTCCGGACAGCAAAAGGGCGAAGGCAAATTAATACTTTATTCTTGCAATTCCTTTCAAGAATAGTGGAAATAAACTTGATACTTTCTTCTCAAACTCGCTAATATAAATGAATCTGAATTCCTTGGCGTGTAAATTCGTCAATCGCAGTATCGACACTACGCTAAACTTATCTTCAAGCTGAAATGTCAAATATTTAAGAAAAAATTGTGCAATTGAGAAATGTACAAATATATATGTATGAAGTTTGTACTCCTACTACATAGCATCAATTCATATATAACATGAAAATTCATGAAAAAAGATTCTAAAAATTGTATGGATACTAAAAAGTTTTCTTTTTTTAATTATAATAAATTAAATAAATTTGCTGCTAGTATGTAAATTATGCATATATATTATTACAAAATAAGAAACGGCAAAAAATGAAAAGTATACCAGATTTCTTTCCTATCGGTTTCCTCTCACTCGTGAACATTTTACTTATGATCCGGAATTTAGGTCGACGATGGTAATTATTTACTATTTTATTGCGCTTCTCAACCGACACCACTATAATTCTGGTATCCAAATATAGATACGCTCACAGAGGTAACATAGAAGCGCTGTTTTATTTGTATTGAAAGAAGAAATTTGCGAAACGACGTTGTTCTTCGTTCTTGCGCGCGACGAACGAAGGTCTCTCGTAATTCTCTCTTGTCGTTTGTCAATTGCACTTTGCATTATGGTTTGCGTGCGGGAAAATTGCGCATCCATCAGTAATGGAGACTCGGCGAGCGCATTGCGTACTGCGACGTCGCGCAGTACCGCAAGATATTACAGCGTTTTAATTAGGAGAACTAGAAATAAAAAAAAAGGTGTGTCAGAAAAAATATGCGTGTGCAAATAATCGTTGAAAATTAAACAGTTGACATTAGGATAACGCAACAAATTTTCGACCGATACATATTCGACATTCGAAAATGTACCGTTCGACATAAATGTCTAGACATTTATTGGGTAATCGTTTTCGTCACATCTTTTTATTGCGACGAATTATATACAGAGCGCTTACTTACGCACGTTGCGTGTGCACTATTACACGTAAACGTGTAACACGCAAGTGTGATTTCAAAAAAATTCCTATGTGATACACAGGTATTATTATATTACTTATTTCTGAGATAAGTCAGTACTATAGAAATTATATTAACCATTAAAATTATCTATCGATCTCGCCGAACACTACGTCCAGTGTACCAATGATGGCGACTATGTCAGCGAGAAAATGTTTAGGTCCTATGTGCTGCAGGCCCGCCAGATGAGCAAAGCCCGGCGCTTTGATTTTGCACCGGTACGGCTTGCTGCTGCCGTCGCTGACAAGGTAAACGCCGAACTCGCCCTTCGGCGCCTCGATCGCGGTATACGTCGCGCCTGGTGGTACCTGGAAGCCCTGAGTGTACAGTTTGAAGTGATGGATGAGCGCTTCCATGCTTGTTTTCATCTCCTCCCGCCGCGGCGGCACTATTTTGGCATCATCACATCGCACTTCGCCCTCGGGCATCTGATTCAGGCATTGGTTGATAATGCGCAGTGACTGACGCATCTCTTCCATGCGACACAGATACCTAAATACAAAAAGTACAAATGCGATGAAGGCAATGCGCTAAATACATTATAAAACAATCTTGAGAGTTATACATAAGTTATACTTTTATTTATACCATCAACGTGTAAAATAAAAGATTAATTAAACCATTTTTTTCTTCAATATAAGTATATAATTTAAAACAAGAAAAAAAAGAAGAAATATATTTTTTACATAAACTTAATTTCAATCAACATAATTATTATTAAACAAAATGTATGAATTAACCTAACCTAACTTCAAAGTGTATGCAAAACGCACAGTGTAAGATCAAATATAGCTGCCCCATCTTTCACAAAAATTAAATAAAATTATTAAACACATATTTAATACATTATAGAAGACGGAGTAGCAAGAATTAGAATGTTTCTTTCGATACTCACAAAAAATTGAAAAAGTTATGCAAATTATACGTTAACACGACTAAATTAACAAAGTGAATTAAGCTGCAAATTCTTTTCAAGATGGCGCGAATTTTTAAAAATAATTTTTTCTACAAGAAAACTAAAAGTAATGAATTGTTTTCGAAAATCTGAATGTAATATTCCTAAAACCTTTACTCACACAAATTTTGCTTTATAAATATATAATAAATACTTGTTTGTAAATTACTTACAAAATTAACATAAAAATGTTTCAACAATGAATACTACATTATAATCAAGACAATCGGAATTATTATATCTTTTACACAATATTTTGTAAATTTATTTATCATTTTGATTTATTTAGAATCTTACCTGTCATAACAATCGCCATTTGTGCCAACTGGAACGTCAAATTCGACCAGATGGTAAGCATCATAAGGTGCAACCTTCCTCAGATCCCACTTTATTCCAGAACCTCGTAACATCACGCCACTGAAACCCATATTCAATGCATTCTCTGCAGTTACAACACCAATATTGGTTGTACGATGCCGCCAGATTCTGTTTTCCGTCAACAGATCCTCTATTTCATCCAATCGTTCAGAGTACTTGGATGCCCAGTCGTATATATCATCCATCAAACCCAACGGCAAGTCTAGTGAGACACCACCAGGTCGTACGTAAGCTGCGTGCATACGGGCGCCGCTTACACGCTCGTAAAACTCCATCATTTTTTCGCGCTCCTCAAACAGCCAGAAGAAAGGTGTGAGAGCACCGATATCCAACGCGTGCGTTCCGACGCCCATAATGTGATTCAGGATCCTTGTAAGCTCTGCGAAGAGAACTGCAAGTAGAAAGAAATATTAATTAAAAACAGTATTTTATTAAATTTGAGAAATTTGAATTACAAGTTTATATAATATATATATTGTATATAAGAATTTATATAGAGATTGAGTATTATTGTTACCTCGAATATACTTTGCACGTATAGGCACATCTATATTCAACAGCTTCTCTATCGCCAGGGAAAAGCACTGCTCGTTGCACATCATGGATACATAGTCCAAGCGGTCAAAGTATGGTAACGCCTGCATGTAGGTCTTATATTCGATCAACTTCTCCGTACCACGATGAAGAAGACCAATATGTGGATCAGCATTGAGCACAATCTCGCCTTCCAATTCCAGGATTAACCGCAGCACACCGTGAGCGGCAGGATGCTGCGGGCCAAAGTTTAGCTTCATGTTCTCTATAGTTTGCTTTGGTTCAGGCGGCCCAACGATGATGGACTCATTTTGGGGTGGTATCCAATCAAGCTTCTCCGTGCTGTATAACACAGGTTTGTTGAACTGCTTGAGATATTCCAAGTCCGGGTTCCATTGGTGAGCATAACGATGTTGCCTGCAAACATACATATTGTCAGTAGAGTTTATAGCGCTACCGTAATGAAGACAAGCAAGTAAAGGTTATGAAGTTATGTAACACATATGTGACTACGGTAAAGCCCTGTCGTTGAACACAATTAATTGAACTTACACATCGACGATCGCCGGTACATTATTCGACGGTAATAACCTGCCTGCGCCGAAAAATCCTGCGTTTTTACGCAGAATTGAACCCAAAGCTCTAGCCGCCATAATGCTCACATCACGTCAATACGGCGACTCTGGGCAACTCTGAGTACAACTCTGCTGATATAGTTAATATATAATACCTACATTAACTACAATCAGCAGTGAAGTTCTCTTGTAAGATTACCGGCAAAGTAACGCGTAATTATTTTTATTTTGAATATAATGGAAGATTTACACACTGCATCTGATTGTGAGAAATGTTAATATCCAATAGAAAAATATACATTTTAGAAACTTTATCCAACAACATATTCATATGTAACAAAATAAATTTTCTATAGTCATAGAAAATATAATTCATCTCAGTTAAAAAATCAAAAATAATATATATTAAAAAATATAATTAACGAATCCTATTTTAATAAACACAATTGTTGTTTAAATTTATTAATTAATTTTTTAATATTATTCACTTTTTATTTATCAAGTGTAGACTTTTGAAATATATGTTATTGACAAAAACTGTTATTAAATTTTTTTATTAAATAAAGAATTAGTTTTGATTTTATAGACGTAATAAAACTTTGCAATTTTATTGTTCAAAAAATAACATTTTTAAATTACTTTCAAAAATATATAATGCTAGACATATAATAAAAGAATAATCTTTTTCTACCTGTATTCGTATTTCTCGTTTTACACACATTCATTTATTTTACGGGCATACGGATCTTGACCTTTGCCTGTTACTTCTATTTGCATCTAAACTTGAAATCTGGTGTCATGAATAGGCATCCACATTAATAAAACAAAATCGTGGAGACAGTCGCTTTCCTGGATATTTCAAACCGCGCTTGGAATAGCGCCATGGAATTCTATACATGTGTTTTCCTAGAATCTAATGGTGCATATTACATAGCAGACAGAAAACATTTACAAAAACTGAGATAAAATGTTTTAAATATTAACATTAATTAAAATTCTTTACCTTTTTTCCATTATATATAAATTTAGCGTGTACAGCGTTCAGTCTTAAATATTCTTCTGTATTCATTAATAAAATTTAAAAAATAAGGTGTCATGAAATCTCGATTCATTCGCTTACGCGAGTTTGTTGTCCACTAAGACACTGCGAAAATGCAGGAACTTCGAATTTCCTCACGAGCAAAACGACTGCCAAAAGTTTGACGTAAGTCACGGTATTGAGGCTGCTATTTTGAGGATAGAGAGTGACGTATGGATCATTGTTGCTCTTACCAACGGCCAACATTCTGCACATCGATCATTGCGTGCGGCCAAACATTCGATCATACATATAGCCTTCCGATTACGCACAACACACAAAACCACACATGGCGTTCTAATTCGATTTCCCTTTATTTCTTACAGTACGTTGAGCATATATATAGTTATATATACAAAGGTACAAAAGTTCAAATCACTTTGTGCTCGATCATTCTTTTCTGATGCGTGTTTGTCCAATCGGCAACACAGCGCTGATAGGCACAGCGGCGAATAATTTTGTTGCTTAATTTCGCAAAGTGATTATCAATGTGTTCTGAAATTAGAAATCCAACATATTTAAAAGTGTTTGAGATAAGCACGTGACAAGTTTCGGACAAACTAATTGATATTCGCATTTGAGCAACGAAAGTGTGTATATCACTACATTGCGAACGATTTTTCTACACACGTAGCAAAGAGAAAATACATATAAAACATACATTTGGTGACTAGAACAATAATACAAGTAAAATATATACTGTTAGCATTATATCACGTTGCTTGCCTTTATATGCGTTGCATAAAAATAAGTAGAAATGGGAGGATGGCGCCTCAACAGCCTCATTATTGTACTCATCGAATCACCGATGTAGACTCATAATAACGCAAAGTATTTTAAATCTTGATTTCAATAATCTTCAAAAGCATACAACAACTTTTGAAAAACCATCAACCTTAACATAAATTGATTCTGGCAAGATGATATTTGCAGTCTCTTTATGACAAGTCTACGATTTTGATTGAAACTCTAAAATGCAAAACAGTATTAGTCCACCAATTAAAATTCGGAAACAATCCCTCATAGTATAGATTCAATTATTAATGCTAATAATCTGCAAAAAATAATTATTTATAATAAATTTCACTAAATAATTAAAATAATTTTTTTAACGATTAATATAACTTATATAATATTGAAGAAAAAAATATGGACTTATGCTGTTTTACACTTTACAGCTTAAGTTACGCTCAAGCGCTAACCCGAGCATGGAATATAAGAAACGGATTCCCGCAATTTACCGAAAGGCCAAGGAAATTCTCCGACAAACACTTTTCCTTTTCTCCAATCTTCCGCTAATAAAAGTCGTAGAGAAGGTAGCGATGCAACGACTGCGGCAACTGCAAATTCCTGACGATCTTCGGCAGCCTGGTGCCGCAGAGTCTGCGGACTATAAGTCTCGCCTGATGCATCAACGGCAATGGGGTCCTGGCCGCTTCCATCACCAGCGCTTTCTGCGCGTCCGTTAGACTGCTGGACCGCCGTATCATGCAGGGATCGAAGCTCTCTGCCGCCTCCAACAGCGCGCGCAACAGCCGCGGCTTGTCGGCCATATTCTGCAGGGAGTTGAGGATGCCGTGCGGATCGCGGAACTGCGTCTTGATCACCACGCGAGCGCCGTACTTGAGCAGCAATGCCACCACTTCCACCGATGGATTTTCATTCGAAGCTACGTACTCGGCGAGCACCGGCCGCAACGCCGGTCCGTCGTCGCTACGTATCACTAGATTCGGATCGGCTCCGCGTTCCAGCAGCATGCACAAGATCTGCAGCCGGTTCGGGATGTTGTCCGCGCACGCTACATGCAATGGCGAGCCGATGATCGGCGATGTAGCATTCACGTCCGCACCTAAATGAGATTTTTTTTTCAATTAAATTATATAAATTTAATTAAAAGATGTGACTTGAAATTAAATTTATTGAATTATATTTTCAATTACCTTCTGTGCTATCTAGATGATAGATCAAGGAAGAATACTCCTAATATTTTGCATTACTGCGATTATTCCGTATTTAGAATGTCACAAATTCTGTATCGGATTTAAAAATAAATTCGTTCTTCGATACAGCAGTGTAAAATAAATAAATTTGTACATAACAGATACCTGAATTTTCCTTTCTGCTGCTGTGTAGCATTACAATGAGAAATGCATAATTAATTGTTAATTATTCGATATTGTAATGTATATATGACAATATAAAAAAATATACCATCTTTTTAATAATTTGCATTTAACTACTATACGATTAGAAGTTTAATTGTTTGATAAAGTATAACTTATATTATTTTATATATAATAAATCGAGATCGACAAATAAAAATAAAAAATCTCTTTCCTTTCTTTGTAACAAGAAATATGCTATACATTAATTATTAATGACAAACATTAATCAAGCATAACTGACGTTTTAATCAACACTGCCGAGAAAAGTTCTTGGCCGACATGATGTCTGCGATCGCAGTGGTCACTTCGCAGGAAAAAAAGGGTCGTATGCGGATCGACGCGCGTATTCGGCACGCGACGACCTTCAAATGCCGCATGATTCGGCCGAATGCCAATGATTCGATGTTTTATCGAGCGCGATATCGCGCGTCCGTAACTCACCTGCCTTGAGCAGCATCTCAACGATCGACGGGTCTCCCTTGAGTATAGCCAGATCCAAGGCCGTCGGCTTCTGATAATCTGGACCGAGATCCAGCCGAGCACCTTGCTTCAGAAGTAGATTGATGACTGCCGGATCGCCGCCGAGAATCGCGTAATGCAGCACTGTACGGTAATCGTGTCTAATGTCCGCCATCGCATTCACATCCGCGCCGTAACTCAACAGCAGAAGCACCGAAGCTATGCCCTGCAATATTCGCAGCTCGTTAGCAATTTTGCAAACGTGTCGAAACATACTGTGTACAATTAATTATTGTGAATATATAAAAAATAGTTTAAGTGACAAATTTTAAATATGCAGAGAATTAAAAAGCAATATATTATCTCTATACGAAAAATCGTAAAACGACGAAATAATATCTCTGAAAAAATTAAAATACCTTTGCGATATTTTTTACACAAAACCGCCTTTTCAAACCTTTGTAAAAAGACAACTTTGCATTGTCCTCTGTTTCGGTGGTTTACCTGTGGCAGTCTGGCGGCCTTCATGAGAGGCGTCAACCCGGCACGATCTCGCGTATTCGGCTGAGCGCCGAAGGCCAGCAACAGTTCCATGCATTCCAGATCCAGAGGCGACACCAGATTAATCTCGGAGCCGAAGAAGTACCTCTTGTTCGGATTCGCGCCGGCTTCGAGCAAGGTCCTCGCGACATCGACGTGACGGTTTCGCAGGGCCAGACGCAGCGGTTCGTCGCACAACATTGTTCTAAAACAAAGAGCGTAATATTAGATAAATGCATTACAGTTGTTTATAACATAAAAGATGAAATATATAGTACGCACCTGGGAAAGAGCTCTCCCGTGTCCTGCCTGTGGTCCACCTTGGCGCCATATTTGAGTAGCAGCTTCACGAGGTCCAGATAGCCGTGTTCGGCGGCAAGGTGCAGAGCCGAGTAGCCGCACTCGTCGGTGGCGTCGATGTCGGCACCGCGCACCAGCAGCAGCTGGGCGGCCTCGGTGTAGCGCTGCCAGACGGCGTAGTGCAAGGGCCTGAGGCCCTGGGTGACCGGTTCGTTCGGCTTGGCACCGCAGGCGAGGAGGATCCGAATCTCGTCGAGCGGCTGCAGCCGTATTATCGCGTCGGCCAGCTCCCGCTGCAACGGGTTGGCGATGCACTCGGTCGGCATCTACATGGCGCAATAAAGACACAGAGATAAAAGGAGAGGCGAAGACGCGGGGACAGACGAAAGAAAGATTGCATAATGCTGTGTATCGTCTCGCGCATTGGCCGAGGATTTACAGCGAGACAATACGAGACATTTATCGATACGTAACTTGTCAACGACGAAATACTCTTTCAGTGTTTTATTTATAGTAACGGAAACATTGAGGAAAATTTTCTACAGAAGAGTCTCTCGGAAAAAAGTTGCAAGTGCCAATTTTCGAGGAAACAGTACAGAAATGGATGTTTTTTTTTTCTTTCAACAAAATGCATATTATAAAATTAATTTGCAAACTTATCGATATCGTCGTGTCAATGAAATTATTAATTTTGAATAAACTTAGTCGGTGAATGCTTATATCTTTTGACTGAAATATTATATTTGATAAATTTGGCGCTCGTAACTTTTTCCTAGATTAATTCTAATTATTTAAATTCAATTACATAATTATGTAATTACGTAACATTCATTATCCGCATAGAATTCTTACGGATATGAAATTCATGCATAAATTTGTTTCTCACCAATATCGAAGATCATATTCATGGCAGGATATTAGAAATGTGATGTAGTTTTAAAGCATAATGATCGTTGCAAGTTTAAGTGAAAATTCTGAGTTAAATCTTCGATTTTTAACGCACGTTCTGATCCTGGAATACTCGTCCGAGAAAAATCTTTCGCGATGCCGCTAAGATAACGGCATGCATTGTTAAAGGCATGCATTTATTGTACGTTGATACGCACTTTAATTTCGAGTCTGATTTGCCTTAAACGATGAGCACGGAAATCCGACAAATCTGCAATATAAGAAGGCAAGAAGATTAATAAGAGCTGACAAAGATTAAAATTTACAATATTAAACGCAATACAATGTACTGTATTAATCAACAATTAACTAGAATAAACATATTCTTTGCAAAAGATCAAATATAAGTTCTTGCTCTTCTCTATTACATCTCTGCATGATTAAAAAAATTTTTACTGCAAGTAAAAAAGTATAAATCAATAGAATTTGTCAAACAAAAATCCAAGCATAAATATACAGATTGAAAATAAAAATGTAAATTAGTATAAATTATAAAATATATAATATAAATTATACACATCATAATTCTATAATAGAAAGATATTTGTGCATAATGCAGAGATGCAATGGAAAAGACCTCGATTTCCGATTCCTGACATGGTTGACAATGTATTGTTAAACGCGAAGATTTTCCTCCAACGGTGATCCCGCAACGATTCGCGAGTCACTTTGCACGATTTGGCCGACGATTGGTGAGTAATGCAATCACTGCTCCCGCACCGGGAATCACACTGACGCGCGTCACAAGCCCAGAAACTCTGCCAAGAAGACGGCGCAATTTTGGCGATGATGCCGGAAGTTCTCGTGGCGTCGCCGATCAAGAATCACGCAGTCTGCGTCTCTACGAAGGTAACGCAAAAGCCGGCACGCAATATGCTCTCTAGAACTACCCACAATCAGCATCTTCGTCTTGCTTGTTACGCGCGAACAATCAAAGAGTTCGGTGTCAGAGTTCAACCACGATCTAAACCATCTTTTAAGAATTTGAGAATGTCAATTTAAATACAATTTCAAATTTTATTTTTCCTGATTCTCAGGAAAAAAAGTAAATTTATTTTTGGCAACTTTAAAGTTAATTTTCTCGGCTTCTTTCAATGAAATCTGAGAGCTAAATTTAGTTAAGCAAATCTTTTTGTCTAGCTTAAGCGAAAATACAATGTCAAGAAGCACATTGAATCGTCAAACTAGATCTACTTAATTCAGATTGTCAGATTGTGTGTGTGTGTGTGTGTGTGTGTGTGTGTCAAAATCTTCAATTTTCTACATGATTTAATTAAATATTTGAATGTTGTTTGTTATATATTCTTTAAAAAGTTATAATGCAGATATTAATTTCTATTAATTTAAAATAAATTTTTCAAAAATTATGCGCAAATTCAAATTACTATAGTTTAGATTATTAGTGAGAAAAATAATAATCATGTATTATTTGACTGATATTCTTGGATTTCTCGCAAGATCAAGATCGATATTCAACCAGTGCGGTTGGCGTAACGACGCAAAAGAGTCGATATTCACTGCCAATTTTCGCACATATATTGGAGGCTATCGTAAATATTTAGCATTGATGCAAGATCTTGATAACGTCGCGCAATTCAATACTTTAGCAAATATCAAAGTGAAAGTAATGTGTTCTCCAAATACTATGATTTGACACCTGTTATAATTGAGACTTCTGTCATAAAAACTGCAAGTACCTAAACAAATAAAATATTAAATATCGATTACTATAAAAATACACAGTACCATATTAAGTACACTCCAGTTTAGTAATTTAAAATAACTATTAAAGTTATAATATTATTTATTTTGAATAATAATTCTATATAATTTCTATAATATCTTTATGTATAATTTCTTTATCAATATAAAAAAATACAAGAACTTTACCAAACTATCTTGGTTGAGAGATAAAACACTTCATGATATAATTCATTTTAATTTAATAAGAAATTGTTGTATTGTATATTTTTTAAGATCAATTTTCAGAAAATAGAAACTTTAATTGTAGGGAAAAAACATAATCATTCTAGTACTAAACTTTCCACAATATAACATTATTAAAATTATTCAAGAAATTAATAAAAGAATCGAATAATACCTCGATCAAGCAATGCATTTTATGTCAAAATTTCTCAACAGTCACCTGTCGATCTTGCATCAATCAGAAATCTTATCGAAGCAACTTATTCTGCAAGAACATAAGTTATCAATCACTAGGAATTTTCGATTTCTGCTCCGATCCGATCCGATCGATCGCAGCATCCATGATATCCAGCGGAAAACTAACGATCGCATCCGCGCATCCGTGAACTTGACATTTCCGCGCTTTATTGTTTACTCACGTCGAAGACGGTGCGATGCTCCAGCATGTAGAAACGATGTCACGTACTGCCTTCTTCGTCGGACGACCCGGCCCTATTTAAAGTCTCGTCGAGAAAACGGCGCGATTCGCGGCACCCGAAAATAACACAAAGGCGGCGGGACTTTTGCGCATGTGTGCTTCTGGCCGCGCTACGCAATTTTTGCGCGTAGAGACGCGACACGCTGTGTTGCTCTTCTCTCGCGCTCGCTTTTTCACGTCTCACCTGTCGATTTTGGGATGAGTGCATGCTGCAAACGTCACCGTTAACGCTCAATCGCATCCCATCACAATTCTTCGCTAAGATCGCTCGCGATCAGCTGATTCTTACGGAATGCCGCGCGAAGGCGCGGAGAATTCTCTCTCTTTCTCTCCTCTTGCTTTTGTTTTAAGAATAGTTTACAATTTGTCTTGGCGCGCGCGGCGACAAAGCATGATAAAAACGCACTTGGCGAAATTAGTACATGCATTAATATACAGGGCGCGTCGCTGAGTTCGACGGATAATAAGTTTGGAACTCTATAATAATTTTATAAAATGGTTCATGCTACAAACAATGACATAGCATATTACAGCTTGCTGTAAATATTTGAGAATAGATATCACTATATTGCGCTAAGCGTAATGTATTATTTTCACGCATTACTGCTTCCACTCTGTCAGCGAAATAAAAATCGATATTTAAAGAATACCGCGTATCATTGGCGCCGGAAATCTGTTTACAATAGCAAGAACGTTATAAATATCAACAATGCAATGAGAATGAATTGAAATGCGTAATAATTCAAATGCTTGAAATTTCTACACGACGTTAATAATTGATGTACATACGTACCTCATACGCAGCCGCGGATACTTCGCTCTGTTTTCGCATTGAGCAATAAATAATTGAGGTAAACACAAAACTTCCGACGCAGATAAGCACCACTTGCCTCGGAACCAAATTCCTAAACAAAATAACAAAAAAAAAATTGGTTATTCGAATTAGCAGGGTTATTGGGATTCATCTATCTTGAAAGCTATTTAATCTTTCGAGGTAGATCCCGACTTCCCGACAGATAATGCCGTTAAAATTTATTGGCACCACTTACTTTTGATCGCTTATGGCGAAACAGGCATAAAGTTTCCATAAAATGAAATAAATAGGTATCGCGTAAGTTTGAATTTTCATGAAAGACGATGCATCATGCTTGATGTGTCGAGACTCAAAGGGTTGAGGAATAATATTTCAATGACAATTATTTACGATGCGCACCATCCACGACACGTGACGACGCACACGTGACAGCGCACAAAGAGATCCTCCCCACTCGGAGGCGATAATGGACCGACAACTCTCACTCCCGTTGTCTACAACTACGTCTTTCGGAAAGTTCACTGATCTTACGATCCGAAATTAAACCCCGATTTCTCTGAATTTTCCTGACTTCGCGTTGCACCGCGCGGATGCAGCAGGAGAATCATTCGGGATGACATTAAAGTAAGGGTGCGGGTGATTTTCTTCTCACGACAAAGCACGATCTTTCTGGAAAATAAATTTTATTTGTAAATATTTAAACAAAAATCTTCAAAATTCTTATCTTTTAGAAAAAACATTCGGTAGAAGGCACAATCGTTGATACAATTGTTCTGTAAAATTGAACCTTTGCTATACATAAATAAGCAAATAAATTATAACATAAAAACGTAATTTTTATCATTGTTTAAACAACGCTTTAATTAAAGCTCGAATAATTCAATTGTATATGAAAATAAATGATCTTATTTTAAACACAAATGTCTCGACAAATTTCAATACCGAAAATCGATATTATTCGAGCTTTCTCTTGAATGAGAAACCATAATTTTGACAATGTCTCATTTGTTAATATTGCCTTGTTATTCCGAAAACACAAACGCTACAGTTAATGCAAAAACGGCGCGAAGGACGGCATGGTTGCGCCAGGCAAACCGGTATACGCGTCGAAAACCGCGATTGACAATGAACGTGTGAGTTAAAAATTTCATTCTCAGGCCTTGGGAGGTGCGAAAACAAGGTCGGCGACCGAGTACGCAATAAACGAACAATGCGGGCCACCGCGAAGACTTCCACACAATTTTTCCTCCCGAGAAAAACCGTGCTAGTCTTCCCGAACAAAGAGCTGGACGAACGCTTCGCCGCACATTGGACAATAAAAACGGCCAGGCACATTTTTTATCATACTTTTATTAGGAAATATTTTGCATTTATTAAATGCCTTATAGTCATAATTAATTTTAATTATAATATAATTATTGTTATGCAATGTTGTCCTATCGTACTACTTAGAAGCATGCTTTTTTTCACTAACACATGATGTTACACCTTAAAATTATAAGCAGTTTTCCATTTCGTTCACTCTCGTCCCTTAAACTGCAGCTCGCAAATAGGTAAATCAAAATACTAGACGGGTGTTCATAGTCGCGGAATAAATGCGCTGAGTTTCGAATTACAGTTTGTCATAGCGAAGGAAGTCACATAATGAAATCACATTGTGTTGTCAAATTGCAGAGTAAAATAAAAAGAAGCATCGTCGAAGAGCAAGTAGGGCGGGGAGTGTGAGTTAGGTCGGTGAACCATCCCCGCAAGAGCGACCGCCGCACGCGATTCTCTGCTGTGATTATTTATTTTCCAACTCAATTTTTCATAGAATTATATAATTACATAATTTATAATTAAGTCTACATTTTTTTCTTCTTAATAGGACTGAAATTGTCGATCAAATATGACTTATGTCCGACTTATATCCGTGTTAATCATTAAAATAAAGCAATGAAACTTATCGGCGCAGATTATTGGAAATAAACGTAGAACATCCAATGTTTCCCTCTGAGAGATGCGCTTTCTTTTCCGTCTTTCTTACTTCTCGTGGAAGTGACAATTACTTTCAAGTTGCATAGTTTCGCATATATGATTGCCAATCCCATCTCTTCCCCGTTGCGCCAAAAAGATCTCTACATTTTTTTTCTCTCCAACGCAACAGCAACGCTAACTACGTTCAAAAATCTCATTTTCAATTACACTTAACATTACTGGTTACAAGTTTTTTTTTCCTCCTCCCATAAGGAAGTAAGTCGAAAAGTAAAGAGACATTTAATCCTTTGACTGCTGAACATTCGACAGCAAAGTGTACACTACGTACTAGCAAGCTAAAACAGTAGTCGTTTATGTGCGAAACATTTTTCTTTCAGATAATTTTCGCATTTAAAAAAGCCACTTAATTATCTTAATATGACTATTTCTAATGTAAAAGTTGAAAATTTTTTTCTCCTATGACGATATACATTATTCGCAATTCTGTTCTTGAACCGTTTAAAGTTAATCACGCTAGAAATAGTCACTCTTATCATTGCACATAAAATAACCTCCTTTTGTTCCATTTTATATCATACAAGTCTCTAAAGGCCGATGATACACAGCGAGCGAGATTCTACAGAGTCTACAGGCACCGATCGTAGAGCACATTATTATACGATGAAGAATCTCTATCGAGCGTCTACAGGCGCTGTTCGCAGTCCAAAGATTAAAAAAAAAAAAAATTAAATTCTTTACTTTTTAACTTTCTCCCCGTACATTCGATTTTTAAAATCTTTTCTTTTGGACTTTTGACTCGTACGTTCGGCGTTCGAAAGTCCTTTTACTTTTTCCTCTTCCACCCTATCTTTTTTACTTTACCAGTATTTTTATACCAGTATTTTTTGTCCTTTTCTTAATTTTATATAAATTCCTGTACCTATTCAATACATCCCTTCATACACATCCCTTCATTTTGTAACCTATAGCGGCCTTACACACGAGTTTACAAAAGCTGGCTTGTTGCGATCAGCAAACCGAACGGGGCACGGTATATTCTGTAATATTCTGAATTGTATTACAGTCACGAGGCGAGTTCGACTTGTTTCGTCCCTCGTCCGTTATCTCTTTTGTATTTTGCGTGTACGCACGTATATATTTATATTTTCTTGTGTGTTCATGTACGCGTATGTGTCTTTCACGTCGTATTACACTGAATCCGCACGCTTCGGCCCGTATTCAGAACGCGTTCACAACAACAGTGTTGACAAATCAAGAATACATGATGTATACAATATGTCTGAGAAATAATTATTTTTCTTCATTTTTAGTACAGTGTTATCCACCGACAATTGGCATTTCGAAACTTCGTATTCGCTTTAACAGAGATTACGTAAGCAAGCGCAAAGCTGCGAGACGCCACTTAAGAGACATACTGTGTATCATCAATGCTGATAAATTCGATTCTCGACCAACTTATTCCTCTTTTGCAAGAGAAATCATTTTTTCTTTCTGGCTCCATTGCATCATGCCTTTTCCCTTTATGCTCTTACTCCGATTACATCTTTGTTCTATTCATTCAACATTTTGCCGCATTACATTTATTAATGCCTTTGTCGCGTCTTGTCAATATTCAAAAAATAATTATTTAGAATATAAGAGCACATTATTATACATTAACAGAAGTAACAGAATTTAATCCCGATAGCCCAGCAACTTCGTGAATCTATTAGATTAATTCAGTCTCGCGCTTATTCATTACTCTTAATGCATAATGACATCCTAACGCCGCGACAATGCCAATTCATCATAAATATAAATCGTAGATAAATTATAGATACAATTACAACACATAGCTGTTATACCGTTAATTAGTAAATGTAACAGTAATATCGCGATGTATTAGTATAATTATGGGCATTAATAAAATGTTAATACTGCAATAGAATAACAAATAATTCCGCATTAATAAAAAATATTAAAAGAGAAAAAGGCAATAAAAACACGTGAACGTAAATACGCAAAGAGATCTAATTTATTAACAAGTACGAAAAAAATTAAAAAAATACGTTTAGGTTTGATTTCCTGACTTTCTTTAGTCTGATATTACAAAAACGGTAAAGAAATCATGCGTTCTTTTTTTAAGCATGATTGTCTTACTGTTTGTAATACTAACCGAAGAGAGAATCGAAATGGAAATCGGATCAAAACGTATGTTTTTATTTTTCTTTGTATTTTCTTGATAATAAATTAGATCTTCTTGCGCGTCTAAATCCGCATGTTAGTTCTTATTTTGCCTTTTTTCTCTTTTAATGTTAATACTGCAGTTGACAAATACGCCAAAATATGTGTTCACTTTTAACGCTTAAACAAATTTTAGTCAATACAATGGTCTTCGTATATTGACAAAAGTATAAAGTTCAAAGGCGAGGCTGCTAGCGTACCAATTAAACCAGAGCATCTTGAATACGGGCATGCGAGGACAACGCAAGTAGGTATACATTTGTGTAGTAATAATAAGTGGCGACTATGCTACAGGATGCTTAAAGATCTAACGGATGCAGTCGAAAGCTTTCGCGCGCGATGTACAATGACATAATACTGAATCGCTTCGGACGAGTCGCGCTGCGAGCAGGAAACTGAGTAAACAAGTCTTCGGAAAAGGCGTTTCGAAGCGATCGGCGACGATTCAGCGTAATATCGCATACTTCAGATATATCATATAAAGCCTTACAGTGTAATCGTACTAGATTCAATCATACTAGATATTACTCTTACGGAATCTACAATTAGAAAATTCAACTCTTACTTAGCATCAATTAGCCTGTCGTCGCTACAACTCATTTTATGAAAACACCAAAGCACATAATTTTTCGATTTCCGTCGTAAATAGGCAAGCAACTATATGTTTTCGATCTTTGATCTTTTAGGAAAAGAGAACTACTAACGTATTAAAGAATGCAATTGTCATTCGGGCATACTTTCCGACGTAATGTATAAATTAATGAATAAATCATCCGTATACTCACAAACGCGACGCGTTTATTTCGTCATTTCAATGTCCTCCTTTTTACTTGAATCCATTAAAAGATTGCGTTGACTCGCGTGCAACGTATTACCTCGGAAAGTTTAATGCAATTGTATCTAATCTGAATCCACTAATAATAAAAACTTAAGCTAAAAAGAGGATATAAAAACACTACTTCTACGAATATGAATGTGTTACCAAAAAAAAACTAAATACGTAATCGTACAAATATAAGTCTGAAAGATAACGAAGAATCAAACGACAAAACGTACACACAATCGCATTGATTACGCAAAAACAGATCTCATCTGTGTGTTTGTGTATGTATATGTATATGTATGCGCATGTTTCTAATTGCATTGCCTATTTAAACCATTAGATATTCGGTAACTGTAAAAAAAAGTACTTAAAAATAATTGGAGGTTCAATCTCTACCAGTTAATGATTCTATCTACAAATAATAATACCATCATAAAAAAAAGAACGGAGAGACCAAAGCGATACAATGTAATTAAATATAATATAAACTGCCTCAAAATGGCTACCTATTTACTGCTATAATAGTGGCTATTATGATAATAGTCATTAAGTATCGTTCACACTTCTTTGATTGTGGTTTAGTTACATACTTTAAGACATTATGATACATGTGAGTATGACACGGATTTTCCACTAAAAATATCTGTTAGATACGCTGAGCATTACTGACTTAAGCACTGTACTAAATTCACATAAAATCGTATTGTATTATTATTATTAGAAAACTAATTATTTTTCATTGGTTTGAAATACTGGTTTAATAGATCCGTATAAAACCTTTGTCAACTGGAACTCTTAGAACAATGATTTACACGATACTGATTCCTCACTGGAAAGAATGCTATATACGAGTACGTCATTACAATTCAACCAGTTACTGGACATTACAACAGGCAACAATTGTAAGTCATGCTTTTTCAATTCTCGTTTAACATCACAATATCCAATATGTGCTTGATTATTTTTCTCTTTTCTACTTTTCATCAATATCTCGATATCATCGTGAAGCCTAAAGAGACAACAGATTGTGTTGAATACGTAATGATCGCATAAAGAAATGACAAATGAGAATAAATACAATTATGTAAGATCTGTGACATATGTTTCGATTAAATGTTCAACTTCAGCTCCTTGAGAATGTGTTCATTATCAGTCGGATGGCAGCAGTTAAACGGCTGCAATTAATAAAAGCTCTAACAAGCCTTCTAAGTTAGATTAATTTTTTTCCTCCTCTTTACATGTACCTTGTATATTGTCTAATATAAATAAATTAACGCTCCAGTATGAGAGGCCAGAGAAAGGCAGTTACACTCTAAGTGATAATAGATAAACTTTACTTTATCTTCTATCTGTTATTGTTCATGTCCACATTTGTTTTGTATCTGGCACTCTTTCCTATTTTAGGCTGCTTCTCAGTTTAACTGTAATTTATTTTGCTGGATTATTGCGTTGCATGGAAAAATATGGCTTTATCCAAATGCTATTTAACAAAGGCAATACACCGTACAATTACATTGTATGCGCGCCACAGTTGTTGTCATACAATTAAACTTCTTTGAAAAGGCAGGACCAGTGTTCGTAAAAATAACGAGAAACCGGCGTTTCGCCGATTTTTACAGACACCGGGTGATTCTTATCGTCAATTACAAATGCTGTTTTTTGTACACTAGCATGTAAAAAGCATTACACTACGTACGTCATGATCGTTCATCTCTTGTGATGTTTAACAAAGCTAAATGGTAAACTTCGAATAAATACCGGTTCCTCTTACTGTATAAGTTATCAAGGTATATATAGAATAAAGGCAGAAAGAAGAAACCTTCCTCGACAAAGTGCCTACAAAAATATTTGTATAATAGATTGAGGATTGCTGTGTCTAAGACTTTTTAAATCTGGTTATGTTAACCACGTGTTACCAGTCTTAAACATAGTGACTACTAATCGACGTTTATGGACAAGTCCCGCTGTCTTTTTTCTACAATTGTATACATTTTTGATCTTTAAGCGTCACTCTGGTGCACGATTATAAAGTGTGTCGCAATTATAATCTGTTTGCTCCCCGGCATGGGGAGGTTCATTTAAAATACAGAAAGATAAATACTCGGTAAATACATACATGTTAACGTGTGTACAGATGCCACAGACAACTTAACGAGAGTAAGATGAGCTTCACTGAATCATGTATAAATATGATGTAATAAAAAATAACTTATGCTATGGATGTTTTCCCGTCAAAACATTTCGAGGTCATTAAAAAAATATCGGTTATATGACATAGTCAATCTTCTTTTTTCTCTTTTTCTGTGTGCTTTTTTTGTCTTTTCTCCTTTTTTGAACTGCACTTTTGTAAATCTGTCTCGCTATGAGCGACATTGATGTAGAATTTAAAAACATCTCACATCTTGTATGCAGCTACACCGGTCACTAAGTAGAAGAACTGAACACGACTGAGAATCAACCATACGTGTAGCGTTCGTCCACAGCATAAAGGAATTGTCGACATATCTACAGATCCTATCAAAATTATACTCTTATCGTGAATATTTATCATTAAGTATGCTAGCACACAAATCCTGCGTATAAAAAAGTCTCAAAATAATAAGATTCAAAACGTAATTTGTTAAATTCTTGATCTATCATTTTATCTTTATCTTTATCATTATGACACAAATGCTTATAAACAGGGATTGAAAAAGAAGTATAAAAAATACCGATTACCACAATATCTTATAATTTCAACTGAAATAAAAACAAACTGGTAAAAATATTACTATGACATATTAGTATAATATTCAATATTAACAAAAAGTTATATGCCAGTAATTTTCTACATGATAGTTTTATAAAAATAAAAATACACATGATATTGACGTAGACTACGTTTACAGTTTATACCGGTGTGTTACGACTTAAAACCGGTGCAAAGTACTATTTACACGTCATTTTACGTTGCGTTTCACGTTAGTAGTTACAACTAAACCTAAACTAAACCTAATTATTTGTCCGCGTAAACGTAGTCATAGAATCTCTAGAAAAATTGTCTCCGTGTTCACTCCCTGTTTATAAATATGAAATATATCATCAATATTCATTTCAAATGACGGATGGAATTTTTATGCAATGCTGCTATCTTTGATTCGAGAACAGATATTAAGAGGGTAGTTTACTTTAAAGAGCTTCAAAAATCGTTAATTACGTCTTTTTTCTTCATATTTTTTCTTTCTTAAAAAATACATGTATTTTATAAGTACATGTATTTTCTCTTAAGTTATCCTAAACACTTATAAGCTCCTAAATATAAGTTCCTAAGTAAACCGTCCTCTTAACGCGATGTTATAGCATATTATGAAATAACATATACCTTTGTACTTTATAAAACAAAAAAAGCGCGTCAGACAGTCTTCCAAAGGACATTAAATTCAACTTAACCACGATATAATACGCTCACGCGTTTGCAAATAGAGCTTCTTAACTTAATGCTGTGTTCGAACTGTTACATGTGGTACTTTTTATGTACATGGAGTGGAGCTGTTCGAGACTCAAATTATATGTCTATCATGTACAATCTAAACACGGTAGACGATAATATAAATGCGAAGATATACGTTATATGCTGTAAATAGAGTAGTCTTGTGAATCGGCGCGCAAACGTGTCGCTACGCCGCGAGTGAATAATGAAGCGTGCCGCGCGCAAACTGAAAAAAAGAACAAAAAAAAAAGGATAACAATGATATATGAGTAACTCGGTGCGCGTGAGAGCTGAAAGTGGAAAAATCGATGGGACAACGGTCTGGAACAGCTCTATATATTGCGACGATAAAAAATTTGTTCGATTTGAAAACTGAAATCTAAAAAAAAAAACTCACTACTTCTTTGTACAGCATTACGGTAGGCTGGAATTTAGGCTCTCCGGCAAACGGTAGTTCATCATATGGTACGGCGGACTGGCTGGGCTACCCGGTTGGCTGTTCATTCCGAGGTTGCTGGAGCCGCGGCCGCGCTTTCTCCTTTGTAGAATGCCTTTTCTGACCATGTAGAATCGAATTGTGCTGATTGGGATCTTGTACTTTTCCGAAGCTACTTGAAACGTCATGCCGCGCGCAACCATGTCCGAAGCTTGTTTCAGTTCTTCTTCCGATCGCCTTTGTCGTCTTTGATAACCTTTTCCGTGAGCACAAAAGGGTGCAATTTTAAAAAATTATCTAGCCTGCATGCCGCACTTCAGTCATTTCGTGTGTGTGGTTAAGTCATCCAAGTTAGATTGCTCACCTTCAATTGCCGGGAATGGGCTGCTAGGGTTGCAATTACTGCTGGGCACCATACTAATGGAATAAGGTTTTACATCTTGTTGCTGAGAGAATTGCTCATCCGGTTCCATCTTTACCATTCCCTGAGTCTCAGTAAGAGTAGCCTCGCAAGCACTGAGAGCCTTCTCGAGATGTTGCAGCGCTTCGCTGTGCTCCATGTTCACGAAGTTGGACGTAGAGTTGGGGTTCTGGGAGACTGGGGTGATCGTTGACGAAGTATTCCCCGTGCTAGTCGCCGCCATCGTCGAACATGTCGGCAGGAAGTCAGAGGTACTTCCATCATTAGATGAATTGTTATCAGGCTTGTAACTGGAATCGCCATGAGTAGGCGTCGGTGGAGAGACAGGTGGATTAGAATCGCACAGTTGTGTATTGCTGTCATTTGTCGAGTTATCGCATCCCTGAGTGGATAAGCCACGAACCTATGTCACAAAATATATCTTTATGTAAAAGCACATAGTATGATGTTGTATTTTTACACGAAAATCTTACACATTTCAAATAATTCTTTCTGCTAAGAGTGAAAAGAATCAATAATGCCAAGAATTTGAAAAAAGTAACTTACGTTAAAAATGTTAGACTTATTCCATATGTAAACATGCGTAAATGGATCCAGAGCATATACCTGTAAAACCTCTGCCGCTTGCATCAATGTAGCCAGTTGTTGCTGTTCTACATACACCTCTCCACGATACATAAATTCTACGAGAGCTTGAAGTTCCCACATTTTCATGTCCCTCAAAAAGATGACAGGATGAGTGCATGGAATTTCCAACAGCAATCGTTCCAAGTAATCGCTGCAAGCGGACAATACTACTTTGTGACACTTTATCGAACCTCCGTCACATGCCAGAGTCACATCCACAAACTGCTCCGAGCTCAGCAATTTTGGAAATGCGCTGTGCATATTTGATTGATGGGAGTTCCAAGATACGCAGAACTGCTGTCGATCGCCTCCAGGATAACTGCCTGGATTAGGCAAAGTACTTCCAGATTCCATGATTGTTGTAAGATTATGCAATATGCCTGTCAAAGACGAAATGTATCAATCTGAGATATTTTAATTCCGACAAAAAGAAGTTTATATTGGGTTTTAAATATTGAATACTTATTACACTTTATACTATATTTTCTGAAATAAATATAGAAATTTTAGAAATTTATGATCTTATATCTATATCTTTTAAATACCTTTAAAATTTTTGGGTGAGCACTGCTTCTAATTATTGAACAAAATGACACACCCCTAAGTATTAGTAAAAAAAATCATACAATATGAAACACTTATAATACAGATATTAAAAGATTCCGTCAAGAAACGCATCTACTGTTGCAGCAAATCGAATTTCTCCTTCGCGTTCTATTTTTGGACACATAATTAATGAAACAAATAACAGACTCTCCGTTTCAATGTCTAATTTACTGGGTCCGACTTTTAGTTCCGAATACACCAAACCGCAGCGAAGGAACGAGTGTTTTCAGCTGTCAGAGAAACACGTATTATTCTCCATGGAACAGCGTATAAAACCCGCGTGCGAAACGGGGTACGTCATTGGAACAAAGGACAAAGGGGGATCCCGCGGATCCAGGCCGGTCGCTAACTCGCGATTCGAAAAGGAATCGTCGCCTACAACATCGAAACGCGCATTTTAATCGTTTTATTCAAATCAATTGCAATCGCTGAATAAAACTGAAAAAGATTTATCACACGGATTAGAGATAGGTTAACAAGAAACATGACGGTTGAGTTAAAAAAAATGTACAATATGGCTGTCTGCCTTAGGTCTAGTAACAACAATATCTGTGCGCCCATATATATATATATACACACATATATATGCACACACGCACACACCCACATTCACCGAAAGCGAGAACACACACACGCACGCATACATGCGCTCTCTCCCCCAACGACACACACAAATATAAAGTATCCCGATTATATGCTAAATGTACGCGAATTATTCTGTGAGAGATTCGAACGTTACCGCGATCGAGCGTAGCGTCGTCGAATCGATCGATAAATCAGGCAAGGGCGGACGCTGACAGGCCGAGGAACGAAATTGGACGCGACAATCGGTGACAAACTCGCCGCGCGACGTCGCCGGATGCACGCATTCGGGCGACAAGCACGCACGTACGAAACAGGCACGCACGCACAGTAGGCGAGGCGGAGGAGGAGTAGGAGGAGGTGAAAAAGGAACAACGAGCCTTCAGATGAATCGCCGCCGGCGTTCGTTGCCGCGCACGACAATGACTGAGTCCCGACTCTTTTGTAATCACGTGTATCGAACTTACACTTGCGAGTCGTCGACAGCGAGGCGAGAGGTTAAGCGTCGTCGCTGTTCGCGGAACGCGCGCGCGATGTCCGTGTCGCGTTACCCACCGTCTCCGCAGACAAAAATAAAAGAAAAAAAAACCGGGTTCTCTTTGCGGGAGAGCCCTCCTACAGAACCGTCTCGGACTTTTTGTTGTAAATTGCATCACTTTATTACACGTTTTTACATTAAAAAAGTGCATGCGAGCGTATTGTACAAATTATTCGTAGTCTCTGCCGCTTTCTTCACGCGATTTTTCTCACACAGAGACGCCGACAGCAAAAGCGTCGCGCGGAACTTCTCGGCATCCTAGACGGAAACGACGTAAAACCACGCTACGCGTTTGTCGCACTCGGTATGCCAAAGACCAAAAGCACTTACTCACTCTCTTCTCAAGCAGTCTCCGTCAAGTATCCTGCTTTAAGACCGCGTTGCTGCGCGAGTATTCTCTTAAGAAAACATTCGACCGCCGAGATTTGCACTAGCGGAGCTGCTGCGCCGGAAGAGGTGGGGATACGAAAAGGTAGAAGATGGAGACGAGGGACGGAGTGTGTGGTACGGCGTCGAGAGGGTAGGTTGGTCGTTCTTCTTTCTCCGCGTGTGAATGTATGCGTGTACCGTATATGTATGTGTGTGCATGCACGCGGGCGACACACTAGCGCGGCTGTCGCGCGACTGCTATATACAGGACGCTAGAGATACCAAGGCGAGAACCCGGGAAGCTGTCGCGAGGCGGGCGAATAGAGCCGCGTGAATCGACCATGAAACCGTCCGGTACCGAACTGTTGATCGATACTTACCCGGCTAGCGGGGTGATTCTCGTTGCCGATGTCGACGACGTTGGATTTCTCTCTCTCTCGTACACCGACGCACTCTATCGAAAACTATCGCTAGAACTAAGTTAGCGTCGCGACGGCCTCTAGCGCGCATCCGTTGCTGCGCAGCAAACTTGCGCCGATCTCGCCTTTAAACCCACGGCGATTCTTAGACGGGCTTCTTAGTACGCTTTTTTTTCTCGCCGGCTGATCGATCGACCGTGTTTCAACCGCGATACGTAATATCTCGGCGTAATTTTCCGCACCTTGCTCCTTCGTGTGATTTTGCGCACGTTCGTCGCGCGCGACGAACTCGCCGAGGCGAGTGAAATTAGCGCAATTATTGTCGGAATTAATATCATGAAAATTGCCTGAAGGATACGTATAATGTTTAATAGAGGTCTGTTCTTTAGAGGTTATATTTTCTATGTCCGTTGTTTTTTTTTTTTTTCTATAGAACAAGATATAGAACAAGTATATAAAAAATAAATATAATAAAGCAAAAAATGTAGCAAATATGAAAGTATTAAAAAATTATATACAGATGATTAGAGAAAGAGTATAGTTATAAGAAAGATGCTTATGACAATGGCATTAACAACAATTTGTCAATTTATATGCGTGACAAAAAGTTTAAAAATTGGGAAAGTAGAATACGTTTTACCGTTTAAATCAAGTGGATAATAAAAATTTCAATTCTTTTGTTTAATATCATAAAGGTTCTTATTGTTATATTTTATAAACGCAAAATTGTTCCTTCTGATTGGCTAGCAACGTTTTGTCCGATCACTATTTATCTCTTCTAAATATTGTATGTTCATTGCTATACTTGCAATCGAGTATGGTTGGTTGAATTTATCAATATATTCAGTTTACTGTCCAACAGTTAAATTTATATCATTTTTAATTCATAGGAATACTAAATCGTTAATTATGGGACTAATATCTTAGATTCTAATGGATGACGAACAAAATATTTGATTCTATAGAGATTGCAAGTTAAAAAGAAGAATTGTAGGTTAACTTAATTAAATTATAGGTTACCTTTCGTGATAATTCTCTGTACATATCTGACGCGTATCTAAATCGATTTGATACCGATAAAATTAATATTCTAATTTTATAGGTATAATTTTGATTTTAAAAATAGATTTTTTACGTAAAAATCTATGAACAACGCTACGATTTCTACACAGTCTTTAACTTTTTAATTTTCAGCGCAATCATGTCAAAGATAACAGGTTATGATACGCACGACGACGGGCCAGGATTCGTGGGAATTCGATTTTGCCAAGAGTGCAATAATATGTTATATCCGAAAGAGGATAAAGAGAACAAAGTGCTCATGTATGCGGTGAGTATAAGTATATTGTTTTTTATGACAAATTTTGTATATTATTAAAATTGTTTCTCCAGAGAAAAAAAATAAAAACAAAGAGCTCTTATATGAGACTTTCTTTATTTCAGTGCAGAAATTGCGATTTTAAACAACTGGCTGACAGCAATTGTATCTATGTAAACAAGATCATGCACGAAATTGAGTGAGTTGAGAATAAGTAGATTAAAAAGATTAAAATTAACATCTAGATAGAAAACATCGCCAAATATTATAACAAATATCACCAAAGTTCGTAATGCGTGCGAGAAAGAGAAGCGCATCATTTTGTGCACAGATATGTTTGGTATACAAAATGATTTGCTTTCAACGTGTCGAGGTCTGAGTTCTCACGATGAAACTCAAGTCTTAATATTAACTTAAACTTGTGGAATATGCGCTAGTCGCACATAAAAAAATCGATTCTGCTCACCATCGATTTACTTAATCGCTTTTTAATTTGTTTTTTTTTTTTTTTTTGTTTATTTTAGCGAGCTGACACACATCGTTGCTGACGTGATATCGGATCCTACTTTGCCGAAAACAGAAGAACATCCATGCCCAAAGTGCAATCACAGAGAAGCTGTATTTTTCCAGGCACAAACTAGGCGGGCTGAGGAAGAGATGAGATTGTATTATGTGTGTACGAATCAGCATTGTTCACACAGATGGACAGAGTAAAACAGAAAAAAAAGATTATCCGGTGTACTTCTTCCCTGCTTGTATGCGTAACTTAATTCTTAAGTTGAATAATATTGTAACGTAATTTTTAAACTGTATAGTATTGTAATGTAAACGAGAAGATGCATATTGTAACATTTATAATAAAAATTGTAAAAAATGGAAAAACGTTCGTGCAAAAATGCAGTGAATTACCGTAAGGCTTAACGCTCGGCCCGCTATTTTCTCGCCAAGCATTTATCCCGTCACTTAAACGCGCGATTAACTTTACAAGTCACCTTACGGATCGAACTGTCCAGCCTCAGCATTACAAACTACGTCGTGCAGTCGCGGCACATCTTACTGCGCGGTCTGTTATCGTGGCGTTTCGCGCGAACGCGAAATTTTGGATGACATCTCGAGATCTACGTGATAGGAACTTTCATTGGAGCTGAAATATTTTCGTTTCTGATTTATCTCGCCGATCGTATGGCCATCGTGAAAGAGAATCGCGCTGCGAATCCGCGGCAAGGCTATGGCTGGAAGACGCCCTGGGACTACTCCCAGCTGTTTATCTGGGCCATGCTCAGCCATACTGAATTCAATATACTTTAGCCCGGTTTAGCCTGGCTGTATCACGTGATCCACTATATATCATACCTCTATGTGGCAGCTTACATATACGCACGCATAAACGCACACATATAAATGTTTACGTTCAAATTGGGATAAGAATGATGCCTCTAAATAGATAACTTAACCTTACAAAATTCTTAATAATTAATTGATTCAAGGGCAATCTGTATTTGCGCAACATGAAGCTGCATATAGCTTTATTTCTACTAGGAATCCTAATACACACAAATGGAATCTCCCTTGACACACCTCTACCACGTATCGGTAAAAATTAATCCTTACTACAATTAATCCTAATTACTCGAATACTAATGTTTTATTAAATATTTAATTTACCATATATTTCATTCTTTATTTCAGCCATTGTAGGAGGTGGCAATGGCGGTGCTTCGGCCTCGCACTTTCTTACAGAGCTACTGAATGGAAACTTGGAGATTGACTTGTACGAAGTGAAAACTATCGGTGGACGATTGGCGACAATAAAGATCGGTGACGATGAATTCGAAGCTGGCGGTGCAATTATACACCCTAAGAACATGTACATGCAGAAGTTTGTCAAACTTTTGGGTAAATGTGGTTAATTTCTTTATCTAATACATTTCTCTGCCACTATATGTATAGATGAAGAAAGCTATTGGAACATATTTGACATATAGGTTTGGAGCATAATTCTCCTGATGGATTAAAAATGGGTATATGGAATGGAGATGAATTTGTATTCAAAGAAAGTGACTGGTCTATAGTAACTATAGCACAGTTATTATACAGATATGGTTTTCAACTGTTTAAACTTAACAGGTATTCTGAAATTATGCAATGGAAAGTAACAACTTAAAAGAAGAGGATAAGATTATATATATATATTATTTTTTTTTTTTTTTAATTAGATATGTAAATGACATATTGGATGATTTCTTGAAGATATATGATCTGCAGGATGCTGGAATGTCTTTTGCCAATGTCACTGCACTATTGTCAGCTTTAAATAAAGATTTCCCGAAATTATTACAGACACCTATAAAAGATCATCTTCTACACATGGGTTTTACAAATCAATTGATCGATGAATTAGTGCAAGCTGTCAACGTGGTAAATTATGGTCAAGAAATCAATATTCAAAGTTTTGTTAGTCTAGTATCTTTAGCTGGGGCATCTGGCGAACTATGGTCTGTTAAAAATGGAAATAAAGAGGTATTTTATTAGTATAATGCATTTTACTTTTGGCTGAAAATATATATGAAAGTATAAGTTTTAATTTTAGGTACCACAGCATCTTATTTATAGAAATAAAAACGTAAATGTAGTGCCAAGTCGTGTTACAAAAATTCGTTATGTAGCAGATAACGATAAGAATCAATATGAAGTGACCTACATAAACAAAGGTATAGTAAGATGCAAAATTTAATCGACAAATACTTAAGCTAAACAATTATATACTGTGTTTATATATTTTAGATAGTACAGATCCGATGACATCGAATTATGATATTGTAATTATTGCCACACCACTTACGCACGACCAAGCATTCCCAATAGAATTTGTGGGATTTCCGGATGATTTCATATTTCAAGGAAATTATCAAACGACATATGCAACATTCGTCAAAGGAAATCTTAATCCAAAGTACTTTGGCTTGAAAGAAACTATAGATGCTATTTTTAGCTGTAATCCCAATAAAACAATAATCAGTTCAATCGGACAGCAAGGTCTTGTCAATGGATTAGTTAAGAAAAACTCACCAGTTTGGAAAATCTTCAGCAGAAAATCTATAGACACAAATCTTATAGACAAAATGTTTTCTAAGGTAAAAAATTTGCTACAATTGTTTTAAAGAAGCCGTAAAGAAAAAAAAAATTTTAATATAATTGAATTAATATAATTTAATATAATAATTTCTTTTTTTATTCAGGTTACTGAGAAGAAGGAAATCCTTTGGAAAGCATACCCTCAATATTCAACAAACTTACAACTCAATAAATTTAAGCTACATGATGCGCTGTATCATGTCAATGCAATTGAATGGGCTGCAAGTGCAATGGAAATGAGTGCAATAGCTGGAAGAAATGTCGCTATCTTGGCAAGCGATGATTTTCTCCAAAAATATAAGCCTATATCGACTAAAGCCTATAAAGATTCGACGAAAAAGTTACGTACGAATGAGTTATAACAATCCTATTTTTACTATTAACATTATTGTTATTAGTAATAATATTAAAAATATTCTTTAAAACATTGTTTAAATAAAATTAAAAGTTTAAAACCCTTTATAACATTGTTTAAATAAAATTATAATTTTTAAAATTAATTAGAATATAAGGCTCTGGTGATTGTTAAATCAAATAAAATCAATAAGGAGCGTAAAGAGCCACAATGCTAGATCTCCGTGCGAAGGTTATGATATATTCGTTAAAAATGTTTACAAACGTTTCGACCTGCCATCAAGCCTTCTTCAATGTACAAAACAACTTACTAAATAACTTAGACTAAGTTATTCAAGTTCAACATGGAAAGACATATGGTCTTAACTTTTCCACCTCGTTCCTTCTACTTGGGCGAGTGCTTCTCCATCATGTATTAATACAATCCTATCTAATTTTTTAACGAACAACAATATGGACGATAAAGGATTGCAAATACGTCTTCCACATCTTTTAATTATTTAAAAGCCGCTTTGCGAGCGGATCTTTATATTACATATTTTGGGTAGAAACGTTTGTAAACATTTTTAACGAATATATCATAACCTTCGCACGGAGATCTAGCATTGTAGCTCTTTACGCTCCTTATTGATTTATATAATTTTTAATATAAATTGTAAAAAAAAAATTTTAAGTATCTACATATACATACATTTTTAAATATATTCCTCTTTTTCCTGTGAAATGCAAAGTTCTGCATGTACAGTTCAGAATGCATTATAATAGAAACAAGAAGCATAGAATTAAGAAATATACTTCGACAACAGATCATACTCGGCCTATAAAAAAAGCCACGAAGAAAGTCATGTATTTTGCTTAAATACGTTCGAAAATTGTGCAGGAAATTGTCCGGAAAATAGTTTGCCGCTCAGTGAGCGCTAATGGTTTCGCCGGTAAGTATATTGCACTGTCGCCGTCCCGTGAAAAGGACGACATCCATAAAAAGAAAAGAAAAAAAAGAACGCGATGATGTTTCAATCATTACTAAGCGTAAACACGAATAACAGCAAATACCAGCTGACTGCCATGTTAAACAAACCGCGATACAATTCAATCGCCGTAATCCTAACCTGATCTGCGAAACGCGCGAAAACAGTCTCAGACTAACAAAAAGTTTTCTAGGACAGAGGCGAGAACGCGGAACGGCGTAAAAATGTGATTTTTTCGCTCGCAATGCATTTTGTAATGCCGTGAGCCTCGCGCTTTCGCGAGGAGAAACAGAGACCGATGGAGAACTACTCCGTGCGCATCAATTATCCGCAAACCGCTCGCGGGGACCCGGAGGAATCATCCACGTCACACGACACCCAGCCGAAGCAGTATGCGGATCATGTCAAAAAGAGGGAGGACGTGATCGTTCTGACAAGCGACACGAAGGGTGGCTTGTGTAATCCCAGAGCTCTGCTCTTTCTCACTCTGTGGTATGTCTTCAGTGGGTGCACCCTATTTTTAAACAAATATATACTGTCCTACATGGAAGGTGATCCCACTATCCTGGGTAAGCAGATGATGGTTTTGATTTATAATAATGAAAAGACTGATAACAATGCCTGAAATTTCAATCGTTGAAGTTTCAGTTTTTTTTTGACATGAATTACACAAATATTTGTTTTAAATATTTATAATTTGTTGTTTTAAAACACAGGTGCTTGTCAGATGTTGATGACAGCAATTTGCGGTTTCATACAAATATACTTCCCTTGCGGCATGTACAAGGCTAGTCCAAGATTAATAAGACCTCCGGGATTTTATAAACATATGACATTGGTAGGGTGCACAAGGTTTGCGACAGTGGTCTTGGGTCTAGTGTCATTAAATTACGTAGCTGTAAGTTTCACAGAAACTATAAAGAGTAGTGCACCACTTTTCACCGTCCTCATCAGCAGGTATTTATTAGGTGAGAACTGTAAATTTATATATTCTTTATATTTGCAATTATCTAAAATTCAGTTCTATAAATTTGTTGTGCTCAATTATATAAAAATAATTGTGATTGCATTTAATTTTAGGGGAACATACGGGATTATATGTAAATCTGTCTTTGATACCTGTAATGAGTGGACTGGCACTGTGTTCTATCAATGAAATTAGTTTCGATTTTAGAGGATTTATCGCTGCTATGGCCACAAACGTGACCGAATGTTTGCAGAACGTTTATTCGAAAATGTTGATCAGCGGCGATAATTTCAAATACACGTGAGTCATATCGGCTGTATTATTTGAGTGTGTAAAATCATTACAAATCGTAAAAAAAAAAGATGTCTCACTGTTTTTTTCCAGACCGGCAGAGTTACAATTGTATACCAGTTTAGCGTCAATTGTGGTGCAAATACCGGTGTCGTTACTGCTGGTGGATCTATCCACGCTGGAGCATTCCTTGAGCTTTAAGTTATTTGCGGCATTCCTTCTCAATGGAGTATTCTTCCACTTTCAAAGCATCACTGCTTATGTACTTATGGACTACATCAGTCCCGTGACACATAGGTGCGTAATTACCTTGCACGTACATGATACATAGATGTCAGGATATATATTGCGTAGTGTGATCTTAAAACAAAACGTAATATTGCAGTGTCGCTAATACCACAAAGAGAGCTTTTCTAATATGGCTCTCCGTTGTTTTATTTAATAACCCGGTGACGGGATTATCACAGCTCGGCACCGCCTTGGTCATAGTGGGCGTATTACTGTACAATCGAGCACAGGAGTGCGACAGGATAAACAGAACAAAGTTACGGTATTCGTCGAAAATCAATTTCCAGTAAAATAATTCTTTTTCGAAATCGACAAAGGTTTATACATACAGGAGCAGAAATATGTGTGTCACTGCACCAAATGTATTGCATTGGTAGTACAAATGATGTCCAGTTTTTATATAACGATATTTCTCGGCGAGTATATATTGATTTAAGGCAAGATGCAATGAATGCAAATCATGTTTATTGTATTTCTCGGTTAGTCGGAAATCAATTTTTATAATCCACTAACAATAAGAGTATTTGATATTTTTTCATTACTCTACAACATAATAACTGTATATTAATTTAAAGATGTAATTCGTTGTTTCTTCAGAAAATATCTATTCGCACATTCTCAGAAAGGCACAAACAAAACCAAAAGAAATCGGGACAAGCAATAACATGTCAAAGCATTGTCGTGTCGTATAGTGTTCCTAATATAAATCTGAGAACTATGGAATGTAAAAATGTTTTATAAAAATAAAATCTCTTTATATACCTATTGATAGGTGGACTTGATGTAATATTCATATACGCATTATAGAAATCTATTAGATTGTACCTGACCTTAGTTATACGCGCGAACACACAGTTAATATATATATATATAAATTGAAAGATCTGCTATTATTATATTCGCGGCTATCTAATTGCATTTGTTAATTTATTGACTGGCGTTCAATGCTTGTTGGATGTCGGCTACAAGATCCTGCTCCGATTCCAGACCGACAGACAGTCTGATCAATTGATCAGTTATGCCTAACGCTGCTCGTTCATCTTCCGGTACGGATGCATGCGTCATAACGGATCTACACGAGTGAAAATCATTAACATTTCCTTAAATATGTAACATCGATTAATCTCTACTTACGGTAATTCGGCTAGCGATTCGTAACCTCCTAAGGACTCAGCTAGAGTGAAGACTTTCAATGCTTTCAGGAATTCCTTAGAGTTGCCTTTGAGATAAAAGGAGACCATTCCACTGTGTCCGGTTGATTGTTTAACTGCAAGTTCATGCTGTGGATGTGACGGGAGATCTGCAATAGAACGATATGTGAGCTTTATTTTATGGATGTTTTATCATTATGGATATTTTATCATTGTTTTAAACGTTTGATAAAACGTTAATTAAGCAGTAAATAAGCAACTGACAAGTTGATGATTAAGGTACAGTATTCTTTTACGTTTCGCGAGATAAGAGGAGTAATAAACCATACAGATACGTACAGGGATGGAACACTCGCTCGACATTCGGATGAGATTCTAGGAACTTTGCTACAGCCAAGCCGTTTTCCATGTGCCGCTGCATTCTAAGCTCGAGAGTTTTTATGCTACGATTAACTAAGGCGCAATCGAAAGGCGATGGAACGACGCCCATGGCTAAAATCAAGGTATCATCTATATGTGATGAATACTTATAACAAAACTTTTAACGATTTGGAAAAATTTAGAGCCTACCGTTTTGCAAGAATCGCAACTTTTCTTCGAGATCGTCCCGGCGCGTGATTGCAGCACCCATAATAACATCCGAGTGTCCGTTGATGTATTTCGTAAGTGAATACATTGAAATGTCAGCCCCAAACTCCAGTGGTTTCTGTTTTGAATGTTAATTAATATTTATTGTAGTTTCTATTTTCGTAATTAGACATTATTTTTCTCAGTATTATGAAATACGGAAACTCACTTGAAAGTAGCATGTCAGGAAGGTATTGTCGACAACTACAATAATGTCTGGACGACGAGATTTTACGGCATCGATCACAGCTTTAAGATCTATAACTTTCAATAATGGATTGCTTGGCGATTCCAGCCAAATCATCTTTGTATTTGGTTGTATGGCATCTATAACATTCTGTACACTAGTCATGTCGACAAATGTCGATTTTATATTCTGCTTGATCAAACATTTTTGGAACAAACGGTTGGTTCCACCGTAAAGATCATCTGCAGCGACTAAGTGATCTCCTGCTTGTAATAATGCTACAATTGTAGTCGTTGCGCCCAAGCCAGAGGCAAACGTCAGACCGTGTTTACCATTTTCTAAAGCCGCCAAACATGTTTCCAGTACGTTGCGCGTAGGATTGCCGCTTCTGCCGTATTCGTAACCCTGAAAAAAACAATCAAAATTAGAATTGAAATAAAATTAAAATTAAAATTTTTACACAAGAAAATAAAAAGCGAAATAATATTATTGAACTCAGTAATATTTCCTCAGTAACATTCCTCGGTAACTCAGTAACATTACAAACATTACATTCAAACTCAATAATATTATTGATTGAATAATATTATTGAACTCAATAATATTTCAAACATTACAAACATTACATTCAAACTCAATAATATTATTGATTAAATAATATTATTGAACTTAATAATATTTCAAACATTATATTCAAACTCAATAATATTATTGATTGAATAATATTGAACTCAATAATATTTCAAACATTACAAACACTACATTCAAACTCAATAATATTATTGATTGAATAATATTATTGAACTCAATAATATTTCAAACATTGACGAGTCAACTCATATTTTAACTATGGACCACAAGATTTTTATCAAATTTTACTGAACTGACTTGTAAATTCTAACTCTTTCATCACCGGGTCACTTTTTGTATACTATGGACACTTCTTTTAAATAAATAACGGCTAATCTACCGGTCCATTGCAACCTCTATAACATGATTTACAACAAGTCTGATACGCTATCATACCACACTTGCTTAACATTTATGCGTTTGCGGATTTTTTCAATATTGTATTTTTAAAAGAATGCGTACGTTTTAATTTTATTAATAATGGATTAGCGATTTGTAACTGAAGAAAGCCTTATTTAGCCTTATTTAGCCTTATTTTGGCTTTATTTATTTTTAGAAAGCTTTATTTCAAGTTTTTTTAATTAAAATTTTATTATATATAATTTTAACAACATCCAGGCTCATTAAATTTATCTGAATTATATCTAAAGACATTAAATTTATATCTAATCATATTTATAGCTCATTAAAGTTATCTGAATTATGTCTAAAGACTTAACCATTTAGATAAGGGGTTTAAATTAAGATTTTAAAAATATATTTCTCCTTTTTATTTTAACTTTTTAGTAAAAAATAACTTTGAGACAGATGTTATTTATGCATAATTTTATTAACAGAAATTTATCTACTAACAAATTGATAATGATTGGATTGAATGAGAGGCGAATGAGAAGGATCATTGTCATCAATTAAGAGCTGAGTGTGAATGAAGTCAGTACATTTTGCACTTACTCTGTGCTGCCCTGGAGCATCCTGTTTAAAAGTTGTAGACATCACCAGAGGAGGAACAACTGAAGCATGTGTCCATTGTTGTGGATCCTGTCCAGCATGAATGGCTATAGTCGAAAAACCTTGTGCTGAAGCCATGACCTGTTGAACAAAAATTTTACACTTTATTGCAATAAATAATACAATTATATCTTGCAATTTCTTACAAGGCAATTGCAAAGGAAAAATTAGTAACATAGAGTGCACTTAATAAAAAATGTAAAAAATAATATACCATAATAATAGTAATCATAACATAATAATATACTTGTATTACATGATGCAACCTGTACAAAAAAATACAACATGATATCTGATAATTAGAAATCTGACGTTGCACATATAAAATTTAGATTAGATAAAATAGAAACTTCTTATTCGTTGTATAAAACAATTGGCAATTTTCTTTCGAAATTGAAGCACTTGAAATTTTCTAATAGTTCTAAAAATTTAAATTTAGTTTTGGCAGTATACACATACTCCGTTCTATTACACTGCACTTTCTGTTCTTGTTCTTGATTATCTCGCTTCATTCAGAGCACGAGTTATATATCCGTTGCATTTCCAGTATGAAAAGTGCAGCGGGAAGTGCTTCCTTAATTCCGATCACACACTTACGAGTTTGAATGATGAAACGACCTTGTCCTGACGACGAATTAACGGAAGAAATATAACCTTGTTGATACCGAGCTTTTTCTGGAACACCTTCAACCAGAATGAATCGATTGTACCGGCGTGCGTATTTATTAGTCTTCAACGTTAACAGCCACTCGTCTGATGAAAGAATGGTGGGATGCTACGTGTAGTGACACTGTCGAAACACGATGCACTTACGCAACGACATTCGATATATCGTTGTATTATCGCAACGTGTCAGTAGAGTATTTTTTTCAAATTGTCAGCAGTTTATTCGTTCCTTTAATCTGCAAACACAACAAATTAAATTAAATTACATTTTAATTGAATTTGATAAAAGTTTATTTTTAAAGAAATATACAATTGCAAAAATTTACATCAAACATGTATAAACAACATTGTTATAAAAGAGAATCGGCAAAAGCTCTTTGTTTTGTATCAAAATAAATATTGTTCTATTAATCTTCTGTCTCTTAAAGATTTATTCTACCACAAATTTTTATTTATTTCCGAAAACAGCAGGCCTATAAATAACGAATAAGTGTTATCTTATTTACATAAGTTGTTATAATTTTAACATTATACTATAATTGTTTACTCGAATCGCGTGTTTTGCTTCAGCAAAGCGAATATTTCATCCTGTCGGAGCAAACAGTAACAAGTGATAACATTGTGTTATTCTTGCTTCCTTTATGCATTTAACGATGCATTTAACTTACAATTAGCGGACTGATAAATATCATCTTATCAGTTTTATTACTCTTGTAATATTATCATCCTATCATTTATATATATATATATATATA